GTGAAGATGATAACCAAACGGCTTATGCACAGCGTACGCACGACTTGCGAACAGCGATAGATAAACGACGACAAGAGTATGCGTTAGCCGAAGTGCAACGTAGTCTATATCAGCAGAAGCGCGCTGATGAACTTGGAGTTAAGCAAGAAAATTCTCTGAACGAAGTGCTTGTCGAAAAGAATCTTGAGCGTGGGAATGTATTAATTGAATATCAACGTGAGTTGTCGATCTTATTCGCTGATTATTTGTATTCGAACGGGTTCAGTTTAAGATTTCTATTCGTTCTACAGATGCGAACACGAAATACCTTACAGTCACTTGGCATCTCACGCCGGACGATTCTTTTAAAAAATCTCATTCAGGCTAATCTACTTCGCAAAGAATTGAAAGGAGAATTGTCAATGCTCTATCAAGCTAATGTTAGCGGAATACAATTCGACCAATTGTTTATCCATCACGTAAGCGACTGTCCGGACATTCAACATGCCGATATGCGTCATGCATCATTCCGTGTCATGTCTTTCTCTCATTCGCCCTCGTTTGCATTTTCTAATCTTGATTATAGCGATTGGTCTTTTTCAAAACTCGACAACTTTGATTTCGATTTGACAATCACGCTGAACAACGTCAGATTTACCGGATCTCAATTGGAGAGTGTGTCATTTGAAGCGATACCTATGAACAAAGTCTCGTTTCGACCATGGGAGGTTTATCAAAAGCATATTTGCTTTCTCTTCAATCACGGATGGAAATATAAGTAGCAGCTATTTTGTTGAATCTGAATTTCACGGAGTTAATCTTGATGGAGTCGATTTCGGTTACACCAACTTTCAACGATGCCTATTTTATCAGGTGTCAGTGCGTAACTGTTCAATGCTTGGCATGCAGTTGCAAAACTCCTCCCTGTCGCACGTGGATTTGACTGGTTGTATCGATTTTGATCCGGAACAAATACACTCTTGGGTGAAAATCGATCAAGTGACCTTACCCAATGGAACAACACTACATGCATATGTTTGAGCGTGGAGGGTATTACGAGAAGGTGTCGAAAAGAGAATAATAGTGATCAAATTTCGTACACTTTGAAGTGCACAATCTTTCGAATGTTTGTTTTATTGTATTCTTATCAAAAGTGCAGAACACACTGGCAAATAAAGAAAGTAATAGTGTTTTGATCGTCCCTGGATCTCCGTGCTCTAACACAGACAATCTTGAGAACTCTCCCTCATTTCGATGGAAAGTAATTCATGGAATTCATTTCATGTTGGGTGGATTATTTCTAATCGGTGCATCATGTATGTACTTTGCTAAAGTTATGCGATACTTTGCATTAGCTTTAACGGTTGGTGGATGGCTTTTTACTATCGGTTCATCCTTTCTTCTCCTTGCTGATCTTCAGCAATGGTGGTACGATCGAAAAGTTTCCGATTCTATGAAACCACGCAAAGTGGATCGCTTAACTGTTGCTCGTTCGTTTATTACATCATGTGGATCAGCCTGTTATGTATCTGGATCAGCATTGTTAATCCCTTATTTCGAAAAACACACGCATATAGGTAACTGGTTAATCATGATTGGCTCTGTTGTTATATTTCTGTCTGCATGTTGGCAAATCTGTAACAATGGTCGTCGTAACCGCACGGATCCATACGAATATAGTTTTCATTGTACAAATCTCATTAACAACCTTTCGTCATTATGCTTTAACATCTGTAATGGACTTGGCGGTGTGTTTTATTTCCTTGGTGTATTCTTTGCACCATTTGAATACAGTGCTAACGAATTTCAAACAAATATCTCTGCAATCTTTTGTGTTACTGGTGGTACTTTCTTTTTTCTTGCAAGTCTTTTTCTCCAATATCAATATTATTCTGCACAATTGTAGATGTCAGTCGACATGCATCATATTTCTTTCTTTTCTGTGTCATAACATTAAACATGCGCAACCGTCATCGAGAATGATAGAGAGAGAAAAAATATTTGCTTTTTGCCTTATAACTTTCGTAAATAATACTGTGTTATTGCAACACATTTGCTCACGTATCACTAGTTGCGCATGATGAGTTTAGAATTGCTTGCCAATGAATTATTACTTGAAATATTTGGCTATCTTCCTAGTGTTCATGTACTTCAAGCATTCTACCGATTGAATACAAGGTTTGATCAGTTGATTCATGTACATTTTCAAACGTCTCGTTTCGATTTTCGAGCAGCAACAAGAAGAGATTTTTATAATGTTTGTCTAACTTATTTTCCATACATCAAAGATCATCTTGTTTCGTTGGGCTTATCGGACGATGACGAAACACCCAACCAAATCGAGTTATTTCGATCCAATGGTTGGACTCTCGATCGATTTCCGCATCTTCGTTCACTCTCATTCGATCACCTTCGTTCTAGTGAGATCATCGGTGACATTCTCGTAGAATGTCCTCAATTAGTTCGTCTCAGTTTAACTGGATGTTATTTTGCCTGCACGCAAAAGGAAATTCTACATTTCATGAATATAGTCTGGAGATTACCGAAACTGATTTACTGTTATTTGAATATGGATTTCAAACACGGATCGCAGATTTTAAGTCCAACGATATTTTCAGCAACCATCGAACACTTAACCATTATTGGTGTTTCATATCCTGCCGGACAAGTGATCAATCTTTGTGAACATACACCTCGTCTTCGATATCTTGCACTAGATTTATCATGTCCGACTGCTAATATCGAATTTCACACTACGATTCCATTGATTACCGAAGTTAATTTTATCGTGATTGGTGCCCAACATGCGTTTATTGAGAATTTGTTACGATGTATGCCAAATCTGTGTCAATTAAAGATTGAAACATGCTATGTAGATATGAATGGATACGAATGGGAACAACTTATACGGAAGTATTTACCGAAATTAAAACATCTTCAATTAAAAATGCGATCGCACGTGATGAACGAAAAATACCGAAAAGAATTGTTCAATTCATTTCAAACACCATTTTGGGTGAAAGAGCATCAATGGTTCATTCGCTACCATTATAATCAAGATCACAATGCGAATATGGTTTGCGTCTATACATTGCCATACAATTTTTCTACTCTTGATATTCATTTTCCTGTCGTATACAAATCTACTTGCTTGAATGAAAAAGATCATTTATCATATGAATATGTACGAAATTTAAGCTATCATTCGTCAGCAGTAAATGAAATGACCGGTGGATCGGATTTTGAGTTTCCTAATATTAACAATTTATCAGTTAATCTACCTATCAACGATCATTTGTTATCACTTGTGCGAAAACTGGATCAACTGTATTCGCTGAAAATAACACGACCGAGTAATATGTCGGACGAGGAGGCACGCAACCAATTACAAACACTGCTTGATCATACACCACATCTTTATTATTTGAAATTTCATTCATGGTCACAAACAACGCAGCAACGGTGGATACGCATCGTTAATCAATCGATTCGAAAGCTCAACCTTCTCGGTTATAATCATTGGTTTACTGAACAAGATTGCGTTGAATTAAGTCAATCATTACTAGGTACCAATTGTGAAGTACTTTATATTAAAGTTGAAAAACGAAATGATATATGTTACTTAATCGAAACCATGCGAAGATTACGGGCTTTAATCGTTCGATCGAAGGATGATGATGGGTCGAATTTGTGGACCACAGACAATCTGCAACTTGATCTATGGCTACGACAATACTTACCCCCCAGATGTTCAATTAAACGAGATTCTCGCTATGTTCATCATGTTCGAATATGGATTGATTTATAAGGATTTTAAAGCGAAAATGAAAGTTGCCTTTTTCCGTTTGATTTGCATTAGTAAAAAGAAATTTGTCGCTAATGAAATCTTAATATTTTATCATCTGTTATTATCTATCCTGAAATGGAGTGCAGGCAAACATACAGAAGATACTAATAATGAGTGTAAAGATAGATAAAGCACACGAAACACGCGCTTGTTAGATTTTTTTACATAATAGACTCAACAGATGCTCTTTTTACATCTGCACCGAATTTGCTGTCTTTTGTTTATCATTGGATTAGCTGCGGCTAGTCATCCTCCAGCTCCATTGGATATTCGAATCGATCATCATAAAGTGAATACCACTCGTGATTTGATAATCAATACACCTAGGCCATCGTTTTCCTGGAAACTTCGTGTTTCAGACAATGTTCACGATCGAAATGTGCAACAAATTGCCTACCAAATTCAGCTAAAGTCGACGAGATTATCTCGAGGAGAAAAACCATTTGAATGGGATAGTCAGCGTGTGATTTCTTCACGATCAATACATGTCCTATACCAAGCTCATGTTGATCTCTTACCATCGACATACTATCAGTTTCGTGTACGAATCTGGTTGAGCAACATCGACGAACCAACTCAATGGACAGAATGGGTTCTATTTCGTACACCGATATTTGATTTACATGATTATTTGATCAACAAAACTGAACTTCTGTGGATTGGTTCAACAGAGATTAATATGAACGAATTGCGCAAAGAGTTTTTTGTGCCCGCTGATAGTCCGATCAAATCTGCAATTGTTTATTTATGTGGTTTAGGATATTATCAGTTCTATCTCAATGGTGAAAATGTCGATCCTAGTCGCAAACTAGATCCGGGTTGGACGACTTATGAAAAACGTACCTTAGTTGTATCATTCGATGTTACTGCAAATATTACCGTGAGAAATGCAATCCTTTTCCTTTACATGAGAAAGAAGATCTCTTTTCTACATATCTGGTTAGACCGGTATGAATGCCGTTGGAGTCAAGTTGGGCAATGGTTGGTATAGTATCGAACAGCACGGCCGAGAAACCTATGGTAAATAGGAAACTTTTCTTCCATGATTTTTCGTTAAAACCAATTGTGATTGCTTATTTTCGGTCCACCCCGTCTGCTGTTCACTCTGCTGATCACATTTGATAATGACAATCAAATGGAAGTTGTTAGTGATCAAACATGGACAGGCCGAGAAGGTTCAATAAAATATGATGGTGTTTACCGCGGTGAAATCTACGATAGTCGAAGTGATCGACTAAATTGGACGCGACCGAATTTCAACGATAGTCGATATGCATGGATCACGCCTGAATCGTTAAGATCACCCGTCAATGATTCATCAATGGGTTTCCTAGTTCTTCAAGATATGCCACCTATTCGTGCGGGACCGGATGCATTACATTTTGAAGTAGGACTAGATCAGTCATCAGAACGCAGCTATTTAACGCTTCAAGATATTGGTGAAATCAAAGGTGCCTCGTTGGCTGATGGTGGTATACTGAAACCTATTGATTCGTGGATATCTGATTCAGGTATGCTACAGTATATAAATATAGAGCGACGAGTAAAAATGAATCTATCGCACAGGTGTACGAACGTTTGATCTCGGTCAGAATATGGTCGGATGGTGTCGTTTCAGATTCCAAGGGCCGCGTGGCTTCAGTACTTCCGTTCGTCATGCAGAGATATTAGTACAGCCAATAGCTTCTACAAAGTAGGAGATCGTATCTTCATCCTAATTGAATACTATGATGCCATTTCAGTGTGGCTACTCGCAATCTCTACGTAGAAAATCTTCGTAACGCTACCGCATCGGACATCTATATCCTCCGGGGAGACCCTCTCGGAGATATCTACGAACCAATGTAAAATATATAGCATAATATATAATCTTCTTTTTACATTTATTGTTTTGCTTTTCTCTTAGTTTTACTGTTCATGGTTTTCGTTATCTATCAGTGTTTAATTCTCCAAGTGCCATGACGCCCGATGATGTTCAGTGTCTTGTTGCTCATAGCGAAACAACTCTGAAAGGTCATTTCAGCACGAGTAATCCAACTATTAACCAAATTCAACACAATATTCAATGGGGTCAGTTGAGTAATTTAATGTCGGTACCTACAGACTGGTATGTACGATCTACTTTTTACAGTTAGAAAATAAATTAGACTTCTGTTGACTTTTATTTTACAGTCCGCAACGTGATGAACGTCGTGGATGGTTAGGTGATGCTGCCTTGTCTGTCGATGAAGCCTTGTACAATTTTGATTTGATGAAGTTTTATCGAAACTTTCTTAATTTAATTATCGACATGCAGTTGGACGACGGACAAGTACCTGATATCGTTCCTGGCTTAGGAGGTCCCTATCCAGCTGATCCGAATTGGGGAAGTGCATTGCCCACTATCACTTGGCAGCTGTATCGACACTATGATGATGTTAAAATTCTTGAAGATTATTATGACTCGATTCGAGCTTATGTAGAATTTCTTCGACACAGCTACCAAGAGACTGGATTGGTTAATTTCATTGCGCGTTACGGGGATTGGCTTCAACCGGCACCAAATCCTAGAACTAATGAACATTTAACAACATCCTACGCTTTTCTTCATGATCTCTATCTTTTACTAAATATGTCCCAAATACTTGGCAAGAAGAATGACACTGACGTGTATTCCCGATTTTATCAACAGCTGACAAACGAGTTTCATCGTGTCTTCTACAATCAGACGACAAATTTTTATGCCGATGGTCTGCAAGCAGCCCAAGTACTAGCATTAGCATTACCGGGTGTCGTCCCACCAACGATCCGTGATGTAGTAGTCAACTATTTAGTTCAAAATATTATGAATAATGAAAATCATGCTACAACAGGCATTGTTTCCACAGCTCAGTTATATCCCATCCTATCTGATCATGGACATCATGATTTAGCGTTAGAAATGATTTCCTCTACCACCTATCCATCATATGGATACATGTTCACAAATCCTTATGAAAATTCGACTACTCTTTGGGAATGGCTCGACGCTCCATTTCTTGGGCCGATGAGTTCACGTAATCACATTATGTATGGTAGTGTGGGTGCATGGTTCTATTCACATTTGGCTGGCATCGATCTACGCGTGAACGAGATCATCATACGGCCACGAATGGCATCAGAAGCGAAGAAACATTTGATGAATAAGTTAGATTGTCAGCTAAGCACATTGTATGGTCTTATCCATATTTCATATACTCGCGATGAACGCGATACAGTTGCAAACTCAATTTTACTTCGTGTTACTATACCAGTAAATATGCGAGCTCAGATGATATTTGAACCATTGTTCGTCTCTGCACAATGCGTGGCGTTACTCGAAAGTGATACAACGATTTGGACATCTGATACAGGCAGCAGCGATGACTCGAAGTTTCTTGTGGAAAAAGATTCAGTTACTAATGCAGTGACTGTGCACATGGGCTCTGGTCAATATCAGTTTCAAGCGAGATGGAAGTAGAAAGAGCAATGTTCTAAACTTAAGCCATTTGTATATGGGCGAGCGCAGTATAGAATAAAGAGTATTCATTTCAGTCTTCCTTAGAGATGCGAAACTCGTGCTCAGACTACTTATAAACGAAGGAAAATATAAACAAAATGGTACTGAATGAAACTATTTTCTAGCAGCCTTCATTTTTCGTAGTGCATGTGGGGGTCCGAGTCCAAACCATATTAAATGAACGACAAAGGCGTTAGAAGGAAACATGAAGCAATATAAAAATATTTTCTGTTGGTTAGTACTTATTATGCGGATCTAGCGGGAAGGTAAGACAGAACCGCTTAACGTTTTTGGAACCGGTTTTAATCACTAATGGTTCTTAATGAAAAACATATAGTATAATATAGAATCCCTTTTAAAAATCTGGATCTAGTCGTCATATTTAATAGTTTCCTATCTTTAAAAATAGTACAGACTAGAACCCTCTTCGACAAGTGAAACTATTTCACTTTTTTTGCACGTTTTTTTTTCAAACTATCTATAGCGTTTTGAAGGTTCTTGAGTAAACCAACAAAACTTTAAGAGATTCTGAATCTATGCTAAAATCTGAAATAGCTCTACTGTATAACACGTTTTTGAAAGACAATTGATTGTTGATAGTTGGGAGAACGGAATACTTTTTCATTGTTTGATTAATCCTAATGATCGAATTATAGTTCTCATACAACTAGATTTAAATGACACTATTATACTGATGACTATTCGAAATAAATGTTCAATTTCAAAGCTAATCAAGTCATGACTTTCTACATCGCTTTATCTATAAAATTCACTTAGTTTTCATCATCACAGGGACACAAAAAATAACATCGCCCTGGATGATTTGACCACTGAAAACTTTACCTAACGCTGCACGTGCTGATTTTCGTGAGATATTTGAACAAAACCGCAAGCCATCAGATGATCAGATCCAAAAGTTATCCGAACAGATTGGCGCGCCTCTGTGCAAATGCAAAGTATTTGATACAACATCCGGTTTGTGTTGGTCCCTAAAATTAAAATTGTTCCGCTTTCATCACTGTAGAGAAAACTCAAACAGAATAGAGAGGGTTTCCGTTCTTCTTCTCTTCAAATATGTATTGCCAATGCATCATCCATCACACCTGCTAAACGATCCAAGATCAACCTGTTTCTTAATGGTACCAGTAACGGATTCATCGAAGTTGTTTACATTCAACTGACATCCAATGATTCAGTACTTTATAATTATTAGGGCAAAGTCACAATAGAGTGACATTCTTTCTCGTCTTTCATCTTCGCCTCTCATATTTACATGTACACGCCGTCAGTCACCACCAAGAGCCGAGTAAAGGAAAGAAGCAGATCGTTCATCATCCTCACCTAGTCAATTTGACGAAACATTGAAATTATTGCAAATAATCAATTATGCAAATCAGTTAACACCGCTTCATTACATCAACTGAGTGTTTACTTGAATGCTCATGTGGAATTCAATGGAATTGTTCGAAATTATTACGTGTACTAATTTCGGCACACAATGGTTCGTTGCATGAAACTCTTTCTGATTTTCGTATATACTGTTTGAACTTCGGTTCTTTTCTTCAATCGAGTCTAGTTTGTCTTTACAATAAGACATGCATAAGTTCCGTACAAGCAAAATTTCATGAAGTTAAACCGATTATAGCTGATGCGTTCTTTTACCAATTTTTTGCTTATCAATGGTTACAAAACATTTCATTCGGTGGTTACTATCGAGAATGTGCACCCGAACGATACGAATATTCTCATAACGTTGAATATCTACTTTTAGTAGTTTAACAAACGGTGTTCATTTCTTATAGTGAAATGTTTTGCGGCGGTATGGTGCAAAATAATTGATAATAGAAGTAAAATATCTCGAAATAAACTCGACAAAAGTCGACGAAGAACAGTTTCAGTTTCAACAGCAGTGTCGCTAGTTGAGATAATGTGATACATCTGACTTTGTCTTTCTTTCAATAGATCATGTTTTACATGATTTAGTCCAATAAAATTTCTACCAACGAACAACAGTGAGCGTAAGTAATTTTCTTATTTCGAAGAAGCAATCCATCGTGGTTGACTCTTACTGGCTTGCTTGATTTTCTCAGCTATAATCGGAAGAATCACGGTGTCGATTATGCTCGATGTCGGTCGGACGACAAAGGAAGACATGTTTCAATCAGCGACTCGTTCGACGATATCAGTGTGAAGCTAGCACGAAGGAGCTAGCACGAAGAAACTGTGTGTAAGCTAAAAACTTTTTTCCAGAGTTTGTCCGGTCCATCAAACCTAGTCCATTTGATTCAGAATTTAANCGATGGTTGGACTCTCGATCGATTTCCACATCTTCGTTCACTCTCATTCGATCACCTTCGTTCTAGTGAGATCATCGGTGACATTCTCGTAGAATGTCCTCAATTAGTTCTTCTCAGTTTAACTGGATGTTATTTTGCCTGCACGCAAAAGGAAATTCTACATTTCATGAATATAGTCTGGAGATTACCGAAACTGATTTACTGTTATTTAAATATGGACTTCAAACACGGATCGCAGATATTAAGTCCAACGATATTTTCAGCAGCCATCGAACACTTAACCATTATTGGTGTTTCATATCCTGCTGGACAAGTGATCAATCTTTGTGAACATACACCTCGTCTTCGATATCTTGCACTAGATTTATCATGTCCGACTGGTAATATCGAATTTCACACTACGATTCCATTGATTACCGAAGTTAATTTTATCGTGATTGGTGCCCAACATGAGTTTATTGAAAATTTGTTACGATGTATGCCAAATCTGTGTCAATTAAAGATTGAAACATGTTATGTAGATATGAATGGATACGAATGGGAACAACTTATACGAAAGTACTTACCGAAATTAAAACATCTTCAATTAAAAATGCGATCGCACGTGATGAACGAAAAATACCGAAAAGAATTGTTCACTTCATTTCAAACACCATTTTGGATCAAAGAGCATCAATGGTTCATTCGCTACCATTATAATCAAGATCACAATGCGAATATGGTTTGCTTCTATACATTGCCATACAATTTTTCTACTCTTGATATTCATTTTCCTGTCTTATACAAATCCACTTGCTTGAATGAGAAAGATTATTTATCATATGATAATGTACGAAATTTAAGTTATCATTCGTCGGCAGTCAATGAAATGACCGGTGGATCGGATTTTGAGTTTCCTAATATAAATAGTTTATCAGTTAAGCTACCTATCAACAATCATTTGTTGTCACTTATGCGAAAATTGAATCAACTACATTCGCTGAAAATAACACGACCGAGTAATATATCAGACGAGGAGGCACGCAAGCAATTACAAACACTGCTTGATCATACACCACATCTTTATTATTTGAAATTTCATTCGTGGTCACAGACAACGCAGCAACAGTGGATACGCATCGCTAATCAATCGATTCGAAAGCTCAACCTTCTCGGTTATAATCATTGGTTTACACAACAAGATTGTGTTGAGTTAAGTCAATCGTCACTAGGTATCAATTGTGAAGTGCTTTATATTAAAGTTGAAAAACGAAATGATATATGTTACTTAATCGAAACCATGCGAAGATTACGGGCTTTAATCGTTCGATCAAAGGACGATGATGGATCGAATTTGTGGGCCACAGACAATCTGCAGCTCGAACGATGGCTACAACAATATTTACCCCCCAGATGTTCAATTAAACGAGATTCTCGCTATGTTCATCATGTTCGAATATGGATTGATTTATAAGGATTTTTAAGCGAAAATGAAAGTCGCCTTTTTCCTTTGATTTTCATTACTAAGCAGCAATTTGTTGCAAACCAAACCTTAATATTTTATCATATACTATTATCTACACTGAAATAGGGTGCAGGCAAACATACAGAAGATAATAATAATGAGTGTAGAGATATATAAAACACACGAGACATGCGTTTGTGAGATTTTATTTTATGTAATAGACTCAACAGATGCTCTTTTTACATCTGCACCGAATTTGCTGTCTTTTATTTCTTATTGGATTAGCTGCGGCTAGTCATCCTCCAGCTCCGTTGGATATTCGAATCGATCATCATAAAGTGAATACCACTCGTGATTTGATAATCAATACACCCAGACCATCGTTTTCCTGGAAACTTCGTGTTTCAGACAATGTTCACGATCGAAATGTGCAACAAATTGCCTACCAGATTCAGCTGAAGTCGACGAGACTAGCTCGAGGAGAAAAACCATTTCAATGGGATAGTCAACGTGTGATTTCTTCACGATCAATACATGTTCCATACCAGGCTGATGTTGATCTCTTACCATCGACATACTATCAGTTTCGTGTACGAATCTGGTTGAACAACATCGACGAGCCAAGTCATTGGGCAGAATGGATTCAATTTCGTACGCCGATATTTGGTTTACATGATTATTTGATCAACAAGACTGAACTTCTGTGGATTGGTTCAACAGAGATTAATATGAACGAATTGCGCAAAGAGTTTTTTGTGCCCGCTGATAGTCCGATAAAATCTGCAATTGTTTATTTATGTGGTTTAGGATATTATCAGTTTTATCTCAATGGTGAAAATGTCGATCCTAGTCGCAAACTGGATCCGGGTTGGACGACTTATGAAAAACGTACCTTAGTTGTATCATTCGATGTTACTGCAAATATTACCGTGAGAAATACAATCCTTTTCTTTTACATTAGAAAGATGATCTTTTCTTCATATCTGGTTAGACTGGTATGAATGCCGTCGGAGTCAAGTTGGGCAATGGTTGGTATAGTATCGAACAGCACGGTCGAGAAACCTATGGTAAATAGAGAAATTTTCTTCTATGATTTTTCTTTAAAACCAATTATGATTGCTTATTTTCGGTCCACCCCGTCTGTTGTTCACTCTACTGATAACATTTGATAACGACAATCAAATGGAAGTTGTCAGTGATCAAACATGGACAGGTCGAGAAGGTTCAATCAAATACGATGGTATTTACCACGGTGAAATCTACGATAGTCGAAGTGATCGACTAAATTGGACGCGACCGCATTTCAATGATAGTCGATCTGCATGGATTACGCCTGAATCATTACGATCACCTGTCAATGATTCATCGATGGGTTTACTAGTTCTTCAAGATATGCCACCTATTCGTGCAGGGCCGGATGCATTACATTTTGAAGTAGGACTAGATCAGTCAGAACACAGTTATTTAACGCTTAAAGATATTGGTGAAATCAAAGGTGCCTCGTTGGCTGATGGTGGTATACTGAAACCTATTGATTCGTGGATATCTGATTCAGGTATGATATAATATATAAATATGGAGCGAAGAGTAAAAATGAACCTATCAAACAGGTGTACGAACGTTTGATCTTGGTCAAAATATGGTCGGATGGTGTCGCTTCAGATTCCAAGGATCGCGTGGCTTCAGTGCTTCCGTTCGTCATGCAGAGATATTAGTACAGCCAGTAGCGTCGACAAAGTAGGAGATCGTATGTTCATTCCACTTGAATACTATGGTGCCATTTCAGTGTGGCTACTCGCAATCTCTATATAGAAAATCTCCGTAATGCCACCGCTTCGGACATCTATATCCTCCGGGGAGAACCTCTCGGAGATATATACGAACCAACGTAGGATATATAGCATATATATATAATCTTCTTTTTACATTTATTGTTTTTCTTTTCTCTTAGTTTTACTGTTCATGGTTTTCGTTATCTATCAGTCTTTAATTCTCCAAGTGCGATGACGCCCGATGATGTTCAGTGTCTTGTTGTTCATAGCGAAACAATTCTGAAAGGTCATTTCAGCACGAGTAATCCAACTATCAACCAAATTCAACACAATATTCAATGGGGTCAGTTGAGTAATTTAATGTCGGTACCTACAGACTGGTATGTACGATTTACTTTTTGCAGTTAGAAAATAAATTGGACTTCTGTCGACTTTTATTTTACAGTCCGCAACGTGATGAACGTCGTGGATGGTTAGGTGATGCTGCCTTGTCTGTTGATGAAGCCTTATACAATTTTGATTTGATCAAGTTTTATCGAAACTTTCTCAATTTAATTATCGATATGCAGTTAGATGACGGACAAGTACCTGATATCGTTCCTGGCTTAGGAGGTCCCTATCCAGCTGATCCGAATTGGGGAAGTGCATTACCCACAATTACTTGGCAATTGTATCGACACTATAATGATGTAAAAATTCTTGAAGATTATTATGACTCGGTTCGTGATTATGTAGAATTTCTTCGACATAGCTACCAAGAAACTGGACTGGTTAATTTCATTGCGCGATACGCAGATTGGCTCCAGCCGGCGCCAAATCCTAGAACTAATGAACATTTAACAACATCCTACGCTTTCCTTCATGATCTCTATCTTTTACTAAATATGTCCCAAATACTTGGCAAGAAGAATGACACCGAAGTGTATTCCCAATTTTACCAGCAGCTGACAAACGAGTTTCACCGTGTCTTCTACAATCAGACGACAAATTTCTATGCCGATGGTCTGCAAGCAGCCCAAGTACTAGCGCTAGCATTACCGGGTGTTGTCCCACCAACGATTCGTGATGTAGTAGTCAATTATTTAGTTCAAAATATTACGAATAATGGAAATCATGCTACAACAGGCATTGTTTCCACAGCTCAATTATATCCCATCCTATCTGATCATGGACATCATGATTTGGCGTTAGAAATGATTTCCTCTACTACTTATCCATCGTATGGATACATGTTCACAAATCCGTATGAGAATTCGACTACTCTGTGGGAATGGCTCAACGCTCCATTTCTTGGACCGATGAGTTCACGCAATCACATTATGTATGGTAGTGTGGGTGCATGGTTCTATTCACATTTGGCTGGCATCGATCTACGCGCAAACGAGATCATCATACGGCCACGAATGGCATCAGAAACGAAGAAACATCTGATGAATAAGTTAGACTGTCAGCTAAGCACATTGTATGGTCTTATCCATATTTCATACACTCGCGATGAACGCGATACAGTTGCAAACTCAATTTTACTTCGTGTTACTATACCACCAAATATGCGAGCTCAGATAATATTTGAACCATTGTTCGTCCCTGCACAATGCGTGGCGTTACTCGAAAGTGATGCAACGATTTGGACATCTGATACAGGCATCAGCGATGACTCGAAGTTTCTTGTGGAAAAAGATTCAATTACTAATGCAATGACTGTGCACATTGGCTCCGGTCAATATCAGTTTCAAGCAAGATGGAAGTAGAAAGACCGATGTTCTAAACTGAAGTCATTTGTGTATGTACGAGTGCAGTATAGAATAAATAGTATTCATTTCAGCCTCCCTCGGAGATGTGAAACTCATGCTCAGATTACTTATAAGCGGAGAAAAATATAAGCAAAATGGTATTGAATAAAGCTATTTTCTATCAGCCCTCATTTTTCGTAGTGCATGTGGGGGTTCGACTCCAAACTATATTAAGTGAACATCAAAGGTGTTAGAAGAATGCACTATTTTGCGTGTGCCAGTGGTTATTATGCAGATCAAGCAATGGTGTAAGACAAAACCGCTTAAAATTTTTGGAACTGTTGTTCACCACTAATGGTTCGTAATGAAAAAGATATAGTATAATATAAAACCCTGTTGAAAATCTGGAACTAATGTCACGCTTTATAGTTTCCTATTTTAGAAATAGTACAGATTAGAACCCCTTTTCGACAAGTGAAACTATTTCACTTTTTTGCATGTTTCTTTTTCAAATTGTTTAGAGCGTTTTGATGGTTCGTGAGTGAACCAATAAAACTTTAAGAGATTCAGAATCTATGCTAAAACCTAAAATAGCTCCGCATAACACGTTCTTGAAAGACAAATGATTGTTGGTAATTGGGAGAACACAACACTTTTTCATTGTTTGATTAGTCCTAATGATCGTATTATAGTTCTCATACAAATAGATTTAAATGACACTATTGCATTGATGACTATTCAAAATAAATGTTCAATTTCAAAGTTAATCAAGTCGCGGCTCTCTACATTGTTTCATCTAGACAATTCACTTAGTTCTCATCATGACAGAGACACAAAAAATAACATCGTCTTGTATGATCCGACCACTGAAATCTTCACTTACGCTGCACGTGTTGAGTTTCGTGAGATATTTGAACAAAACCACAAGCTATCAGATGATCAGATCCAAGAGTTATCCGCACAGCTTGGTGCGCCTCTGTACAAATGCAAAGTATTTGATACATCCTGTTTGTGTTGGTCCTTAAAAATTGCTCGACTTTCATCAGCGTAGAGAAAGCTCAAATAGAATAGAGAGAGTTTCCGTTCTTCTTCGCTTCAAATACGTATTGCCAATGCACCATCCATCACACCTGCTAAACAACCCAAGATCAACCTATTTCTTAATGGTATCAGTAACGAATTCATCGAAGTTGTTTACATTCAACTGACATCCAATGATTCGATACTTTATAATTATTAGGGCGACGTCACACTATAGAGTGACATTCTTTCTCGTCTTTTATCTTCGCCTCTCATATATACATGTACATGCCGTCAGTCACCGAAGAGTCAAATAAAGGAAGGAAGAAGACCGTCCATCACCCTCACCTAGTCAATTCGGCTAAACATTGAAATCATTGCAAATAATCAATCATGCAAACCAGTTAGCAACGCTTCATTACACCATCTGGGTGTTTACTTGAATGCTCATGTGGAATTTAATGGAATTGTTCGAAATTATTACATGTACTGTTTTCGGCACACGATGATTCGTTGCATGAAACTCTTTCTGGTTTTTCGTATAGACTGTTTGAGCATCGATTCTTTTCTCCAATCGAGTCTAGTTTGTCTTTAAAATAGGGCATGTATAGGTTTCGTACTAGCAGGATTTAATAAAGTTAAACCGATTATAGCTGATGCGTTCCTTTACCAATTCTTTGCTTCTCGATAGTTACAAAACATTTCATTCGTTGATTACCATCGAGAATGTACACCCGAACGAGGGTGTTTCTCATAGTGAAATGTTTTGCGGCGTTATGGTACAGAATAATTGATAATAGAAGTAAAATATCTCAAATTAAACTCGACAAAGGTCGAAGGAGAACAGTTACAGTTTCAACAGTAGTATCAGTAGTTGAGATAATGTGATACATCTGACTTTTTTTTCTTTCAATAGATCATGTTTTACATGATTTAGTCCAATATAATTTCTACCGACGAACAACAGTCAGCGTAAGTAATTCTCTTATTTCAAAGAAGCAATCTGTCGTGGTCGACTCTTACTGGCTTGCTTGATTTTCTCAACTATAATTGGAATAATTACGGCGTCGATTATGCTCGATGTCAGTCGGACGACAAAGGCAGACATGTTTCAATCAGCGAGTCGTTCTACGATCGTCACCAGTAAACAGCCAGCTGTTGAATTAACACCAGTTTTGCCGAGTACGTTACGAAAGTAAACGTAGAAGGTACTAAACATGATCTGTATTGTAATTAGATACTTGTCGTATGACAATGGTGGGATATCGAAATGGAATATTGGAAACGAGCAGAAGTTTGCATACAGGTGATGAATCTAGTCTTCAAGAGGTTCTAGCCGCAGATTTGAATAATGACACACTACGTACCACACAACAGCGCTTGCTCTCAGCGATTTAGATCGCGATGGGTGGAATGATCTGGCTGTTGGTTACGCCGACGATGGCGAATCATATGACAGTGGCACTGTCATCTTCTTTAATATTAGCGTCTATCAAGCAAAAAGAATCACAGACACATTTCGGTCAGCAAACATAAGTACTGATGGTTCAGTCAACGTTAGAACATTTCGGTATTCTCCAATATATGATGATTATTTCAAATATAAACGCACAGTTCGTCACAGAGGATTTTGAACATCCGTCAAGAATGATTCAAGGAAGATTTAACTATGATGAAGTTGGTGATTTGGTGTGTCTCTTTCCGGAATCGGATATTCTATACGTTCTTCTCCTTTATCCAACTAGTGACAAAGAAAAGATATTTACTCGTACTGTATGTTTAACAGGTTCACAGCCGACACTGCCTGCGATTATTAATGTTAACAATGATGAGGTTGAAGATTTAGCGATCCTACATTGTAATGGGCTTCTAGCTGTTTTTATCGAAACAAACGCTGGAGTTTTCGATCGACATTATTTAACTTTTGAATCAGACATAGTTCATACCAAGGCTAACAGAACATGTTATCAACTGATGAATGTAGCCGATTTGAATCGAAATCAAAAGGACGACTTGATTATTATTGACAATGAGAAAGACAGCATTCGAATTCTCCTAGCTTCTCCGTGTGATGCTTAAGATTATGCACAACCGAAGAGAACTCATCATTGGTTCGATCTGTACTTGAGAACATAAGATAAAAATATAGTAGAAATAATTTTATTTTGAAGAATATAAAGCACGAATTGCTGCGCTAGCAGTCAGTCGAAGTCAGTATAAGGGGAAAAAAGAGTTTACTGTATATAAAGGATATGATAGTAAAATATTGAAATAAAAAAGTATAGAAGAGATTGGCAAGTATAAATAGAATACGCGCCATTATCTCTTGTTGTGGTTGTCGACCGTGTAGTTGAAGTTGTTGTACTGAATACAGAGTCTGATTCACAATGAATTGGAATTTGATTGTGATGTAGAGCTAAATCGTTAATTTTCATTCGATGATTAAAATCAAAACAATTTGCTAAACGTTGTTCAGCTAGGTTTCCACATAAACACATAAAACTCTCGTCATAGAAACATGAGATGTTTGCTGTTCGATTCCAACATGGTACATGATAATGTTTAATACGTTGAATACGAGGCATTTCGATGATAGTGGAAGGAAATATTTCGGTTATAGAAGGACAACGATTCGTCAGACTCAACTGTCGAACCAGCGTAGATGGAGAATCCATCTGTTCATTTAAAATGAAATAATATTCACTTGTTGACAGTTGAATGAAAACTGTATTGAATGGATGTGACCAGTAATTCGTAACTGCCATGGTGTTGTTGCACAACTGTGCTGGACTTTTATGATGAACGTGTAAATTACGATTAACAAAATTGATAAAGTGAAACATAACTGAAGATTGTACAGACAGCTCGAAGTTATTAGGAAACAGGACAGTTACTTTACTATCTGCTTCTTCACAGTGTTTTCCATTGTATCCCTTTTTACAGATGCATACATATGCTGAACGAGATGTGATATATTCTTCAGACGATATACAGACACCACCATTCAAGCATGGATTCCTCTGACATGCAGTATTTGTTAATAAGCATTCAGAGCCAAATCTATCATTGCGGCATACACAAATCGATCGATTGTTAGCATCAATACCAGCACATATGGAATCTAGCGAACATGTGCATGTGTATGGAATATGACAATACTTTCCAGTCCAACCAGGGTTACATTCGCAAAAACCTTTCGTTTGTGAGTTACCTGAGTATTGAAAGTATTGCCCATAAATACATTGATTATTCGTATGCTGTTGATTGATGTCATATAAAGACGGAATATTTACTTGGATGGCCACACGTTCTACGGGCAAGAATGGAAATTGCAACGGTACGAGCATACTTCCTCGATACAGTAATGAATACATTTCATAGATCTTAATCTGTATCGAGTAACGTTTTCGAGTATCTTTAGGTTGACTTGCATAAAGTAAATAACGATTGTATTTGACAAATTCGTCTTGCACCGGTAAATAAGTCATTTTTTCGTATGAATGAACAATAGATTCATCACTATCATCAATTAATGAAATAAGCAATACAAATAATGTGCGTCGAGATTCCAACGGTGCACTGATTTCCATCGTTAATGCAACACGTTGACTTTGATATTGACAACGATCCCCATAATAAGATGGAGGACAAAGGCATGTTCTTGCAGTTAAGTTTCGATGACTGTTCAACATAACTCGTACGGGAATACCTCGATGGCAATAATCATCTCCTAAAAATCGTTGGGCACTCTTTGTTTTCGTCTCAGTTTTGAAATGCTTTTCAGCGTTTCCAAAGATTCCGATCATAGATGAATTGCAAAACTCTTCATCATCCCCATTTTCACAATTCTTTATTCCATCGCAGATAGCGTTCCATGATAAACAGATGCTGCCACCACCATTTTGACAATAGAATTTTCTTGATTCTCGATAACGATTTCTAATTGGACAAAGTAACGGTTCGTCCATACCACCAACACAGTCAAGGTTATCATCGTTTGCTTTTTCGAGAGGTAAACATAGCAACTGATGTGTACGTGACGAAATGCATAGATGATGATGTGGTGGACATGGAATAAGTGCCGATGGATTACAATCGACTTCATCAGCACCATTCAAACAGCTCCAAAAACCATCACACCGAGTATATGTATTATTACACACCCACTGCGCACAATCCGTTTCGTCTGTATGAATCTGTCCATTGATTGAAACAGGTGTGAGATCAAGTGATCGATCACATATGGTAGAAAATTGAATTTCTGATCTCTTTTGATTGGATTTTAAATCTTCATCATCACAGAAGCCATCTTCATCATATCCACAATCGCAAAATCCATTTTCGATTCGACTTCGATGAATACATTTACTTTTTGTTCGACATTGGAAAAACACACCATTGTTGTCGTCCATAATACATGCTTTATTGACTGTATCTTGCTCTTCGTCATCTGCGTAATCACAATCTCGAATACCGTCGCCTATGTAGAATTTGGGTATACATTTCGACGAATTTATACATTGATACATGAATGGGCCGTTACAATTAGAGTTGCTGTTCAATAATGGATTGCAATGACCGAGTAGTCGATATATTTGCTCCACATAACTTGAATACCAGTCGTCACCGTTAAAATGTACTCTTATTGGAAAATCTTCTGGACGACGACATGCCATTCGTTCAAATGGTAGTAAAGTAGCATTTGAACCAAATTCGCCGCATTTTTTGTGATCGTAACAAATGTATTCAGGCGGAACTTCTCTCATGCTTGTCGAATTGATTGTGTATTCGATTGAATAAGCAAAATAAACGTGACCAAAAGCGACTGGGGTAGTTGGATAGAAGAAAATACCCGGACACATAGTGTTTATAAGTTCAATACATCCGTTATTTCGACACATACCTGAACACAATGTTCGGTTGTAGGGAGAAAATTTGAAGTGACAACGAATTGCGAGAAAGCAATCAGAGTTGAGAAAACCTGGTTCCTCGCTATGTATTGCGTTGTCAATCTTTTCATAACGTGAATATTGACATGAGCTCGTTAAAGGATGTAAAAATTGACTCGTATCGCGTTCATGCCATGGGCAAATGATATCTTCATTTGTAATAGTCGGTGCATGATTTTCATTCGAGACGGAACTTCGTAGAACAGAATCAGATCGATCAAGACATTCATAACTGTTACTATCTGTAGTAAATCTCAATGGGATACATTGTCCATTGTTACATCGAAATTCGCCTTCTTTGCATCGATTATTGATCAATGGTGAACAGTTTTCTTCGTCACTTCCATTTTCACAATCAACTTTTCCGTCACACACTTCACTCCAATCGAGACAGATCGATTGCAGACCGCGGTTGCAAAGCAAATGAGTGTAGCATGTTGAGGATGCCGCTGCTTTCGAACGTGAATGATAATGCAAACGAAGAAACTCGTTTAATGTCAATCTGGGATCATAGTTTTCCAATTGATATTGGCAAAAGGGACCAAATGAGGGCGACGTACAATTATAAAACACTTCTGAGCTGAGTATAATATAAACATCCCCATCGTTTAGATACAGTTGATAGCGTTCAATGACATCAATCGGTGCGGACCATTGATACAGTTGTTGACTTGTAATGTTTCTTTGTTTGAGTTCGTTGAACGTGGATATTGAATGATAGCTTGTCTGTTCAATCTGCCAAGTTGATGTCGGTTCACTCAGACAATACGGAATGATGTCACGAGACCATTGATCTTTACTCTGATCGAAATATAGGCAATGATGTTGTAGATATGCATCATCAGTACGATAAAGATTTAATCGAGGTGAAGCAATCACCGAATGCAAGAAGAGGATAACAAATATCAAACGCTTCATATCTCTTGGTAAGCAAAACTTCAAAACAAGCGAATATATATATATATATATATATATGGAGGTGAAAAATCTATATGCGATTCATTTTATCTTAATCAATTTGTTCGGTATTGAATAACAAGAGTTTTTCGGTTCGAAGTCCAGTTAAGTATATGTATATATTCTCACCTTGTATATCTCGAATAAATATTTTGATTCTGATTTAATATTCGTCTCAGGAAGATTGATCTTTGTGTACAAAAGATCACTTTGCCGCGATGAAGTCAATATTTTTTTGGCGATTATGTTTCGTGGAGGTAAAACTGCGCAAATGGTCGTTTTTTGACTTTCTTCAATCTCAAAACAATGATTAAATAAATGTATTATCAATAAACAAATAATTCCAATCATCGAATGTGTCTGATTTCTCGCAGCTCTTTAACTTTCACTAAGACAACAATTTTCTTCATATCAAATCAGAAATATTTTCCACCTATGATAGTGCCTTTCATAACGTGAGTCAATCTATAATTCCACTCTATCGCATGCCGATGCCAGTAACTCTTCACCAATCATTCCCATTTTATTTCCACCCAATTTTAACCACTTGATAGTCTGATAAATAAAGAGCAGAATATACTAACTGTATGACTAGGAATATCATGAACTCACTGCGTTTCTTCGTAATGCTTCACTGAATGACTTCGCACCCGTGATTCCGATCTCATTGTACGAGACATCCAACATGGCCAGTGTCTATGAAGAAGAAGAGTGAAAGTTCTATAATAGCATATACTTTTATCTCACATTGTTTATTCGTAGTGCTTTCTCGAATGAGTCGGCTCCGATGTCTCCAATTCCATTTCGAGAAATATCGAGTACAGACAGTGTCTATATCAATTAAAACAGAAACGAGTATTATGAGCATGAACACAATGTATTTTGATTTTACTGTGTTTGTTCGTAATGCTTCGCTGAGTGATCTAGCTCCTATGGGTCCGATTCCGTTCCAAGAAAGATTGAATGTAGTCAGTACCTGTTATAATCGTGAGTGGAGAAAGATATTCGTTACGTAAACACTCATATTTTCACTCTATCTTACTGTGTTTGTTTTCAGTGCCTCAGCCAGTGTTTTAACTCCAACGGATTCTATGTAATTCCATGAAAGATCCAGTGTAGTCAGTGCCTATTTTCACAAGGGCAAAGATGGGCATGATACAAACGAGATCTAACTGTCTCAGTCGTACTTTGTTTATTAGTAGTGATTCAGCTATCGATTTGGCGCCGGCAGCTTTTATTCCATTCCAAGAAAGGTTGAGTGTAGTTAATGTCTTTTGAGATGATCAAGGAGTAGAAAAGTAGCTGAATAAATGCATACATTATTGTCTTACCGTATTAGTTCGTAGTGCTTCAGCAAGTATTTTGGTCCCCTCGGGTTCTAGACAATTCCAGGAGAGATCGAGTGTAACCAGTGTCTATTTCATTGAATAAAGAGAAGAACAATATATGCTTGAATAGTAGTGTTGTTGTCTCACCATGTTTGTTAATAACAGTTCAGAGATTGATGTACCACCTGTAGGCCCTATATGATTCCAAGAGAGATTAAGTGTAGTCAGTGTCTTAAATAGACACAGAACGACAACAATACTTGTTGTGTATATATATATCAACTAGTATCGCCTCACCGTGTTTCTTTCTAGTGCTTTAACTAGAGACGAGATTCCTGCATTTTCTATTTCATTGCGGGAGAGATCGAGGGCAGTCAATGTCTGTTTAAATGTGAAGGAAGGGAAAATGTATCATATACATGAGTGAAGAGGTTGATTTCTTACTGTGTTCACTTTGAGTGCTTCAGCGAGTGACTCTATTCCCATGTTTCCTATTTCATTCCGAGAGATATCGAGTGTGCTCAATGTCTGTTTGGATGAAGAAAGAGAGTAATAGGATACATGCATGCATCAATATAAGGATGGTTATCTTACCATGTTGTTTCGTAGTACTTTCGCGAGTAACTTTGTTCCTGCATCTCCTATCTCATTCCAGGCGAGATTGAGAATGGTTAGTGTCTGCTTAAATGAAGAGAAGAGTAGTCCATAGATATATAACTTTAAACGCAAATGTGATTATCCCACCGTATTTATTTGTAGTGCTTCAATGAATAGTGTAGATATAGTGTTTCCTATTTCGTTTCGAGAGATGTCAAGGGTATTAAGTGTCTATTTGGATGGAGCAAGAGAAAGAAAGTGCATGCGTTTATTCAAATATTATATTATCCCACCGTATTTGTTCGTAGTAATTTACCCAATGAGTCACCGCCCTTAGAACCTATGTAATTCCAAGAAAGATTCAATGTGGTTAGTGACTATTCGAACCAAGAAGGAAAAGCATACAACACTCGTGTATATAAGCACAGATATATTAACATACCGTATTTGTTCGTAGTTCTTTGGTCAATAATTTCACACCCACGTCTCCCGTTTGATTCACGGAAAGATTGAGTGTAGCCAATGTCTATTAGGATAACCGGCGGTTAATAAGATAAAAACTAGTACAAGTATCACAAAACGGGATGAGCCTTCGAAAATTGCATGGTACACGCACTGTATTATGAAGGATCGTTGTAGTGAGTTTAGCGGAGTAGAAAATTATAGTGCCTAAAAATAATATTGCTTACTTTATTTCCTCGCAGTGCATGAGCAAGTATAGAAATGCCATGAGGCGTGATTCGATTGCCGGATAAATTCAATTCGAAGCATTGTTTGTTAGCAATAAATTCACTGGCGACGACGTCCATATCGGAATCAAATAACTGCATTGATTTCAAGTCAACTTTAGGATTCTGAGCGTAATATTCCGAGAGACGTTCTTCTAGACGTAGATTAGGTAGTGCAGCTGGAAGTCGCTTTTTAGACAATGATACAACTGAAATCGGCTCAAACGGAGTATCATCGAATGTAGTATTTGTCGGTAATCTCAATCGAGCCATTATGTCATATTCTGATTGGATTTCTTTCAATTCTATCATATGAAATCCTCTACCTTTGTCGAACGAATTGATAACAAGAAATTGACTAGCCGGAGGCAGCAAAACTTGTTCATTATTCTCCTGCATTGAAAATCGACGAATATCTCTTGCCGAAAAGGAATTGATGCTAAATAGTGTTCTTTTACCACTTTTGTTCAGACTCAATTTTCTCTCCAATTGATTGGTCTTGTTTATGCATGAAGAAAATCCCCACCAGGTAATTTTTTCTCCTACGCAATATTTAGCAGACAAATCCATATTTGCACCTCGATAAATGGTGAAGTTGGCTGATGGCAGACGCGAGAAAGCGTTAAGGAAAAGTCGTAGAAAAGGAAGCCAAGGTTCCAATTTTCGTCTATCTTTGCAACGAAGCGTTTCGTTTAAAAGGTTGGATATGGACATCTGAAAAGGTTCCCATTCCAGTATATACAACCAAATAGAATTAGATTCATCTCGGCTAAAGGTATCCTCTGGTTCGCTATGAAAGCTTTGAACCGTTTCGAGCATTAGTTTGATATCAGGTACGACTGCTTCCAGTGAGACGATAGCTTGATCGAGTGAGAAAGTTGATGTATATTCTAACTTTTCGATAGGTGGAAGTATTTCAAGTAATTCCTCAGTCACATCCAAAAACCGTCTGGTTTCTATTGATTGATCAATGTCGCTTCTAGTTGCCATATTGATAGCAATGATGATCTGAAAAAGATATAAGAATCTCAGCTATTTTAATCTCGTTCCCAAATAATAATAATAACGTCTCATGGGTTTTTACGCCCGTTGGGATCGGTCGTGGTTGTCATTAGTATTTTGTGGAACTCACATATATTTTTTGAAGAAAAATAAGTGAGTGTAAGTTTTATACCCAGGAATCATTGGACCCCCCCCCCCCCCCCCCCTCCCCCCCCCCCCNCTTTATTCCATCGCAGATAGCGTTCCATGGTAAACAGACGCTGCCACCGCCATTTTGACAATAGAATTTTCTTGATTCTCGATAACGATTTCTAATTGGACAAAGTAACGGTTCGTCCATACCACCAACACAATCAAGGTTACCATCGTTTGCTTTTTCGAGAGGTAAACATAGCAACTGATGTGTACGTGACGAAATGCATAGATGATGATGTGGTGGACATGGAATAAGTGCCGATGGATTACAATCGACTTCATCAGCGCCATTCAAACAGCTCCAAAAACCATCACACCGAGTATGTGTATTATTACAGACCCACTGAGTACAATCCGTTTCGTCTGTATGAATCTGTCCATTGATTGAAATAGGAGCGAGATCAAGTGATCGATCACATATGGTAGAAAATTGAATTTCTGATCTCTTTTGATTGGCTTTTAAATCTTCATCATCACAGAAGTGTTCTTCATCAAAGCCACAATCGCAAAATCCATTTTCGATTCGACTTCGATGAATACATTTATCTTTCGTTCGACATGCGAAAAATACGTCCTTATTGTCGTCCATAGTACATGCTGTATTAACTGTATCTTGTTCTTCGTCATCCGCATAATCACAATCTCGAATACCGTCGCCTATGTAGAATTTAGGTATACATTTCGACGAATTTATACATCGATACATGAATGGACCGTTACAATTAGAGTTGCTATTCAATAATGGATTGCAATGACCGAGTAGTCGATATATTTGTTCCACATAACTTGAATACCAGTCGTCACCGTTAAAATGTACTTTTACTGGAAAATCGTCTGGACGACGGCATGTCATTCGTTCAAGTGGTAATAAAGTAGCATTCAAACCAAATTCATCACATTTTTTGTGATCGTAACAAATGTATTCAGGTGGAACTTCTCTCATGTTTGTCGAATTGATTGTATATTCGATGGAATAAGCAAAATAAATGTGACCAAAAGCGACCGGGGTGGGTGGATAAAAGAAAGTACCCGGACACGTAGTCTTCATAAGTTCAATGCATCCGTTATTTCGACACATATATGAACACAATGTTCGGTTGTAGGGAGGAAATTTGAAGTGACAACGAATAGCGAGAAAGCAATCAGGGCCGAGAAAATCGGGTCTCTCGCTATGTATTGCCTCTTCGATCTTTTCATAACGTGAATATTGACATGAACTCGTTAAAGGATGTAGAAATCGACTCGTATCACGTTCATGCCATGGGCAAATGATATCTTCATTTGCAATAGTCGGTGCATGATTTTCATTCGAAACGGAACTTCGTAGAAGAGAATCAGATCGATCAAGACATTCATAACTGTTACCATCTGTAGTAAATCTCAAGGGTATACATTGTCCATTATTACATCGAAATTCGCCTTCCTTGCATCGATTATTGATCAATGGTGAACAGTTTTCTTCGTCACTTCCATTGTCACAATCAACTTTTCCGTCACATACTTCACTCCAATCGAGACAGATCGATTGCAGACCGCGGTTGCAAAGCAAATGAGTGTAGCATGTTGAGGATGCCGCTGCTTTCGAATGTGAATGATAATGCAAACGAAGAAACTCGTTTAATGTCCATCTGGGATCATAGTTTTCCAATTGATATTGGCAAAAGGGACCAAATGAGGGCGACGTACAATTATAAAACACTTCTGTGCTGAGTATAATATGAACATTCCCATCGTTTAGATACAGTTGATAACGTTCAATGACATCAATCGGCGCGGACCATTGATACAGTTGTTGACTGGTAATGTTTCTTTGTTTGAGTTCGTTGAACGTGGAAATTGAATGATAGCTTGTCTGTTCAATCTGCCAAGTTGAAGTCAGTTCACTCAAACAATACGGAACGATGTCACGAGACCATTGATCTTCACTCTGATCGAAATACAGACAATGATGTTGAAGATATGTATCATCAGTACGATAAAGATTTAACCGAGGTGAAGCAATTACCGCATGCAAGAAGAGAATAAAAAATATCAAACACTTCATACTTCTTAGTAAGTAAAACTTCAAAATAAGCGACTACATATATATGGTCCTGAAAAGTCTATATGCGATTCATTTGATCTTAATCAAGTTGTTTTGTATTGAATAACAAGACTTTTTCGATTCGAACTCTAGTTAAGTATATGTATATATTCTCACCTTGTATATCTTGAATAAATATTTTTTTATTCTGATTTAATATTCGTCTTAGGAAGATTGATCTTTGTGCACGAAAGATCAGTTTGCCGCGATGAAGTCAATATTTTTCGCGATTATGTTTCGTGGAGGTAAAACTGCGCAAATGATAGTTTTTTTTAATACTTTCTTCAATCTTAAAGCAATGATTAAAAAAATGTGTTATCAATAAACAAATAAATCCAATCATCGAATGTGTCTGATCTCTCGCAGCTCTTTAACTTTCAAAAAAGCAACAATTTTCTTCATATCAAATCAGAAATATTTTCCGCCTGTGATAGTGCGTTTCATAACGTGAGTCAATCTACAATTCCACTCTATCGCACGCCGATGCCAGTAACTCTTCACCAATCATTCCCATTCTATTTCCACCCAATTTCAACCACTTGATGGTCTAAATAAATAAAACACAGAATATACTGACTGTCTGACTAAGAACATCATAGACTCACTGCGTTTCTTTGTAATGCTTCACTGAATGACTTTGCACCCGTAATTCCAATCTCATTGTACGAGACATCCAACATGGTCAGTGTCTATGAAGAAGAAGAGTGAAAGTTGTATGATAGCGTATATACTTTTATCTCACATTGTTTGTTCGTAGTGCTTTCTCGAGTGAGTCGGCTCCAATGTCTCCAATTCCATTTCGAGAAATATCGAGTACAGACAGTGTCTAATATAAATTAAAACAGAAACGAATATTATGAGCATGAACACAATGTATTTTGATTTTACTGTGTTTATTCGTAATGCTTCGCTGAGTGATCTAGCTCCTATAGCTCCGATTCCGTTCCAAGAAAGATTGAATGCAGTTAGTGCCTGTTACAATCGTGAGTGGAGAAAATATTCGCTACGTGAGCACGCATATCTTCGCTCTATCTTACTGTGTTTGTTCTCAGTGCCTCAGCCAGTGTTTTGGCTCCGACGGATTCTATGTAATTCCATGAAAGATCCAGTGTAGTCAGTGCCTATTTTCACAAGGGCAAAGATGGGCATGATACAAACCATAGATGTAACTGTCTTAGTCTTACTTTGTTTATTAGTAATGATTCAGCTATTGATTTGGCTCCGGCCGCTTTTATTCCATTCCAAGAAAGGTTGAGTGTAGTTAATGTCTTTTGGAATGATCAAGGAGTAGAAAAGTAGCTGAATAAGTGCATACATTATTATCTTACCGTATTAGTTCGTAGTGCTTCAGCGAGTATTTTGGCTCCCTCGGGTTCTAGACAATTCCAGGAGAGATCGAGTGTAACCAGTGTCTATTTCGTCGAATAAAGAGAAGAACAATATATACATGAATAGCAGCGTTGTTGTCTCACCATGTTTGTTAATAACAGTTCAGAGATTGACTTACCACCTGAAGGCCCTATATGATTCCAAGAGAGGTTGAGTGTAGTCAGTGTCTATTTAGAACACAGAACGACAAAAATATTTATTATGTATGCATATATCAACTAATATCGTCTCACCGTGTTTCTTTCTAGTGCTTTAACTAGAGACGAAATTCCTGTGTTTTCTATTTCATTGCGGGAGAGATCGAGGGTAGTCAATGCCTATTTAAATGTGTATGAACGGCAAATGTATCATGTACATGAGTGAAGATGTTGATTTCTTACTGTGTTCACTTTGAGTGCTTCAGCGAGTGGCTCTATTCCCATGTTTCCTATTTCATTCCGAGAGATATCGAGTGTGCTCAATGTCTGTTTGGATGAAGAGAGATAGCAGTAGGATACATGCATGCATCAACATAAGGATGGATATCTTACCATGTTGTTTCGTAGTACTTTCGCGAATAACTTTGTTCCTGCATCTCCTATCTCATTCCAGGCGAGATTGAGAATGGTTAGTGTCTGCTTAAATGAAGAGAAGAGTAGTCCATAGGTATATAACTTTAAACACAAATGTGATTATCCCACCGTGTTTATTTGTAGTGCTTCAATGAATAGCGTAGATATAGTGTGTCCTATTTCGTTTCGAGAGATGTCAAGGGTATTAAGTGTCTATTTAGATGGAGAAAGAGAAAGAAAGTGCATGTGTTTATTCAAATATTATATTGTCTGACCGTATTTGTTCGTAGTAATTTACCCAATGAGTCACCCCCCTTGGAACCTATGTAATTCCAAGAAAGATTCAATGTAGTTAGTGACTATTCGAACCAAGAAGGAAAATCATACAACACTCGTATATATAAGCACATATGATAACATACCGTATTTGTTCGTAGTTCTTTGGTCAATAATTTCACACCCACGTCTCCCATTTGATTCGCGGAAAGATTGAGTATAGCCAATGTCTATTCAACGTACGCTAACCGACGATTAAGAAGGTAAAAACTAGTACAAGTATCACAAAACGAGATGAACCTCCAAAAAATTGCATAGTACACGCACTGTATCATGAAAGATCATTGTAGTGAGTTTAGCTGAGTAGAAAATTATAGTGCCTAAAAATAATACTGCTTACTTTATTTCCTCGCAATGCATGAGCAAGTATAGAGATGCCATGAGGCGTGATTCGATTGCCGCATAAGTTCAATTCGAAGCATTGTTTGTTGACAATAAATTCACTGGCGACGACGTCCATATCGGAATCAAATAACTGCATTGATTTCAAGTCAACTTTAGGATTCTGAGCGTAATATTCCGAGAGACGCTCTTCTAGACGCAGATTCGGTAGTGCAGCTGGAAGTCGCTTTTTAGACAATGATACAACTGATATCGGTTCAAACGGAGTATCATCGAATGTAGTATTTGTTGGTAATCTCAATTGAGCCATTATGTCATATTCTGATTGGATTTCTTTCAATTCTATCATGTGAAATCCTCTACCTTTGTCGAACGAATTGATAACAAGAAATTGACTACCCGGAGGCAGCAAAACTTGTTCATTATTCTCCTGCATTGAAAATCGACGAATATCTCTTGCCGAAAAGGAATCGATACTAAATAGTGTTCTTTTACCACTTTTGTTCAGATTCAATTTTCTCTCCATGTGATTGGTCTTGTTTATGCAGGAAGAAAATCCCCACCAGGTAATCTTTTCTCCTACACGATATTTGGCAGACAAATCCATATTTGCGCCTCGATAAATGGTGAAGTTAGCTGATGGCAGATGCGAGAAAGCGGTAAGGAAAAGTCGTAGAAAAGGAAGCCAAGGTTCCAATTTTCGTCTATCTTCGCAACGAAGCGTTTCGTTTAAAAGGTTGGACACAGATATCTGAGAAGGTTCCCATTCCAGTGTATATAACCAAATAGAATTAGATTCATCTCGGCTAAGGGCATCCTCTGGTTTGCTATGTATGCTTTGAATCGTTTCGAGCATTAGTTTGATATCAGGTACGACTGCTTCCAGTGAGACGATAGCTTGATCGAGTGAGAAAGTAGGCGTATCTTCTAACTTTTCGATAGGTGGAAGTATTTCAAGTAATTCCTCAGTCACGTCCAAAAATCGTCTGGTTTCTATTGATTGATCGATGTCGCTTCTAGTTGCCATACTGCAAGAAATGATGATCTAAAAAAGATATAAGAAACTTAGCTGTTGATGACCTGTCTAGGATCATTTCATGGATGATGTTACTGATATTCGAACAAAGAGGTCGGTAATGATAAATTCTTTTCACCGAGTTCGAAGTGAAAGAATATTTGTTTTATATATCATAAAGTCAATAGAAACATCTTCTAGTAGACAAACGTCTTTTCACAACAGAATACAGACGAGTCAAAAGAGAAAGAGAACGAAAAAGAAATTTTGTCGAAAACACATTTTCGTCATTAAAGTTATTCACTGTAAAAGAAATGGGTGGATCAACGTCGAATATCGCTCATTCGACCGATGAAAATCTTGAATCGTTGTCACTGATTTGGCTGGATGCCAATGTTGACAACTCCAGAGAAAACATTGATATACAAAACCAACTTCGTTCCATCGTAAACTATTTGAAGACATTTCAAGATGTGACAGAATGCGAAAATTATATTCGATCAATGCTCGATGGAGATAGAGTGTTACTCATCGTCAGTGGACGTCTGGGTCAATACATAGTACCGCGCATTCATAAACTTCGCCAGATTCTTGCTGTCTATGTCTTTTGCTGTAACAAAGTGAACCATCAAGACTGGGCTAAACAATTTACCAAGGTAAGAATGAACGTAAGTAATATGCTGCGACATGTCTTTTGTCTTAACATTTTAGGTGAAAGGCTTATTTACCAAGACGCAAGATCTTGTCTCTAGCATTCAATCGGATCGTGAACGACGGAAACAAGGCGACGAGCCAATCTTATTTTCTGTTCAAGGACGATCAACTAGTGAACTAAATGGGCAATTTGTTCATTCTCAAATCTTTATTGATATTTTACTTCGAATAAAACCAACCCAAGAAGACAGAGACGAACTCAATTTTCTTCTTCACAAGATATACAAAGGAAATGCTAGTGAATTAGCGATTATCAAAGAATTCGATAAGAAATATCGAGCTGATGATGCACTGTGGTGGTACACAAGAGAATCGTTCGTTTATCGATTGTTAAACAAAGCTCTTCGAGTACAAAATATTGATATTCTCTTTCTATTTCGATTTTTTATCGTTGATCTTCAACAACAGCTCGCTAAATATCGATGTACCACCCCTATTCGTCTCTACCGGGGTCAAAAAATGTGCAAAGACGAAGTACAAATGTTACGTAACTCCATCGGTCAATTCGTCTCATTCAATTCTTTTCTATCAACCAGCATCTATTCTTCCGTAGCGCATAAGTTCTTAATGCAAACGTCTGGTGATGGTGAAAGAGTCTTATTCCAGATCGATGCCGATCCTACTATTTCAACAAAACCTTTTGCAGATATCACTCAGCGTAGTCATTTTTGTAACGAAAAAGAAGTGTTGATTATGCTTGGATCAATCTGTCGAATTATTGACGTATGCATCAATGATGAGCAAATATATGTGGTTCAAATGACGTTGTGCTCAGACGATGATCATCACCTGAAAAATATTTTTGAATACATGAAGAGTCTACATGGAGGCGGAGAAAAGAATCTTCTCTCATTTGGCAATGTACTTGCAGAGATGGGTAGATTTGATGAAGCCGAAAAGTATTATTTCCGTCTACTAAAACATCTTTCTGCAGATAATCCAAACATTGCTCGTTGCTATCATGGACTCGGCAATATAGCTGATGAAAAAGATGATTATGATGCAAGTCTCGAGTGGCATCAAAAGTCACTTCAGATAAGAACTGCAGTCTTACGCGCAGATCATCCTCATCTCGCGGCGAATTATATTAGTATTGGCTGTGCGTTTTTTAATCAAGCAGATTATCAACAAGCTTTTGAATCCTTTGAAAAAGCACATGATATTATCGAAACAGCATTTGGTGCCAGGCATCCTGATGTTGCCATGTGTTTGAATAACATGGGCTGTGTCTACGAACGCGAACAAAAGTACATCACGGCGTTGAGATACCACGAGAAAGCGTTGAGAATTCGTTTAAAATGTTTACCTGAATATCATCCTGATGTGGCACAATCTTATCATAATATTGGTAATGTCTATCGTGCGTTGCGAGAGTATGATGTTGCATTAGAAAATTATCAGAAAGCATTGGAAATCAAATTCAAATCTTTACCTTCTGATCATCGTGATATTGCTCTCACCTTGGAAAATATCGGTAACGTGTACAACGATAAAGACAATTTGCAAGAAGCACTCTCATATTATAAAAAAGCAGAATTCATTTATGATCGTTCTTTACCGGCTACACACATGAGTATGCTACAAATAAGAGAATATATTCGATATTTGTCCAAGAAGATTTGTTAATGAAATAAGCGCGTTTATCAACAATGATTGTATTGTTCACTCCGAAAATAAGTTAGTTATTTTAGACACACTCATTCTAACCTCGATTATATTTTTGTGTTCCATGCTTTGATATGTTTCCAATGACACAGATGCGATCGTGAAAACTTGTGACACGTTTGTAACTAATAGTTACTTCTCAAAATAAAAGTACAGATAGCAACATAGAACTCGTTGTGTTTTCTCTCTCATCTTTGGAAAGAAAAAACACACCTATAAAATTACTAATGTCCATCAATGATGTGTCGCAATTCTGCGATTCAAGATTTCAAGCAATTGAAAAGGAAGTCAGTTCTTACTCAGTAGTCAAATACGTATTTATCATTAGCACTCGTTTCGTACCTATAAACAACACGCTTTAGTTTTTTTCTCGAGAAGCTGCATTTTCATCAAGTAAGTTCCCCTACAGTTGCTGGCACTATGTGGGGGCTGGGGATAGCAGCAACAATAGAAATGTGACAGGACCGGTACCAAGGGGCGTACAACATGCCAATCCACTTCTTTATACATTAGCTCAAGATCATATGAACATTCAACCGTATTGGATTATGGTTTTACAATTAATTGTGAAATATATCATCATTTAGAGTATTTTGAATAAATTCCGTTATAAAACATTCTCCACCACATAAGAAACAGCACTAGGACGCTGGATACTTGACGAACAAATAAAGGAATACAAGCAATCGAATAATGCTGTGCAAACTGCAGTCTAAGCGAGAAATCGTCAGTCTTTGACTAGTGAACGCTCGACAGCACGCGGCAAAGTCACGGCCAGGTCTCGAAATATATTTATTGGCAATATAAATGCGTCTGCTGCGACGATCATGTGGCCTATCACAGTACTTTTGCAATTCGCGAATACTCTTCAGATAATAATACCACAAAAAAATTCAAGAAGCAGAAGAAGAGCGTGAGAGACTTCGTCATAAATTAAAATTCGACATTTTCGACTTTCTCTTTCATTCATTGCTTTTCTTTCACTTTTCTTCATCAAACTTGTTGTCCATTATCGGGTGGAAGAAAATAGAATTTCATATAGGTCGATGGTCATCTCTTATTACGATGATCGTTGTTGGTGTTCTACTCCTTCCATATCTTTTTATAAATGTGATACTAATGGCATTTGCCTATTTGTTTATGTTCATTGTTTATATCCTTCTTTGAATGTGTGGAACAATTTTCTTGATGGTGGTTTCATTAATACCAGGCAGTAGTTACATTCTACTGGGTATTTTGAAATCTTCGACTGCAGAAAACTGGATGAGTACGAGCATTGCCCTTGTGCATCCATTGATCTAACTTACCCTTCCGATATTACTCTCAATATTTATATTATGGGAACGATTATTACGATACCATGACGAATGAGTTTAATTCACGTATAGTACGAAAACTTATTTTAATATTTTGCAAGCATCTATTAATGAAGAGCCATGCACTTCATTGAACTTCATTTAAAGAATTATCCTTTTTTATGTTTTATAGAACGATGCAGAAGAAATTTTACAAAAAAATATTATTCTAACTGCAAGTATAACATGTCCCAATTCCACAATGTACTACGCGTTGGTGTGGCTGCCCTTCATAAACCAGTTTGCCACCTAGTACTGTTTTTTCGACTTTGACATGTTCTATAAATTCTTTTCGAACCATGAATAAGTCATGATCGAGAATGGCAAAATCGGCAAGTTTGCCCACAGCAATCGATCCTTTGATACATTCTTCATGTACAGAATAGGCCGCCCCCAATGTATACGAATATAAAGCTTGCTGTACCGATACGCATTGCTCAGGAACAAACACATTGTTAAGTTTAGTATCATTGCCAGTAGATAATGTTTGACGTACGACTGCTGCATGTATGCCTAAAAGAGGTACAGGAGGTGCAACGAACCAATCCGAACCGAATGCCATGCGAACACCAGCATTTTGAAAAGATCGAAATGCATAAGCATTCTTACATCGTTGAGTTCCAAGAATACTTTCAGCCCATCGACCATCATCAATAGCATGATACGGTTGAACACTAGCAATAACGCCCAACTCACGAAAACGATGAAAATCTGCTGATGCGACATGCTGTGCATGTTCAATACGCCAGCGTCGATCTTTTCTACCATTCTCCCGTTGCACTCGTTCGTAGATATTCAATGCCGTATGATTAGCACGGTCACCAATAGCATGAATAAATACTTGCATGCCGGCTGTATCAATTCCTTTGATCCATCGGTAGAGGTCATTTTCTGAATTGACCATTTCACCAGCATAGTTTGGTGTATCAACATACGGATCAAAGAACCAGGCTGTATGACTACCAAGAGAACCATCGACGTAACCTTTGATTGCTCCAAGACGTAACATTTTATCACCACGCCAAGCTCCAGGTAGAGCAAGACGATTTCGAAGTATTTCCCAATTTTCAATTGGAGCCGCTACATAAGCTCTAAATCGAACATAGTAAAAGTACAATTAAAAGTTTGTAACAAAAGTCTTACCTAATCTTCAGTCGCCCTCTTTTATGTGCACTTTCGAATGTACTAATATCGTCTCCTACACCAGCACGATTGCGAGATGGTGGCTCCGTAAGATGATGAATGGATGTGACACCATTTTCGAAGCAATACTGTGTAGCAGCTTCGATTGCTTGATCGTCTTCATCTTGAGTAGCTTGTGGCACATGAGGATAGACTATATTCATCGCATTATCCTTAAATGATCAAAGATGCAATTGTATCGAAAAGACGGGTAGTGGAAAATAAGACCTTGAATAAACCAGTTGGCTGTCCATTTCCATCTCGCACTACGGTTCCACCTTCAACATCTGGAATCGTACTGAAATCTGCATAACCAGCTTGTTGTAAAGCTAATGTATTCGCAAGAAACATATGTCCTTCTTTCCGATTAATCCATACAGGATTATCAGGTGTTACCTATGTAGGTAAATACTACGAGATCTGAGGAAAGATTTCATCACTGGTTACTTGATCAATCCATGCACGTGTTGGCAGTTCTCTTTCTTCTTGAGGCCATAACGTGTGATCCCAATCGCCGCCTAAAATCCATTTACCGCGTGGTTGAACCGCAGCGAAATCTTTAATACGCTGAATGAATTCATTTCGAGTTTGAGCATCGGATAATTGCACAGAAGATAATCTATCAATATTATTTTTAAAAAAAGCACAATGGAAAAGTACATGAACAATCGTATACCTTTGACCACCCATGATGAAATGAATATGAGAATCAATAAATCCAGGAATGACAAATTTTCCTTGTGCATCGAGAATGTGTGTCTGACTATCTTTATGCGTATCACTATTACAAGTATAGGCAAAATGTTGAAACTTTCTTACTAATCAACTTACAGCAAAGACAACACGTCAGAGTTTGATCCAACGTGTGTAATCATATCATCGACACAAGCTATTGCTTGTGCATGCGGGTATTCCTTATTTCCGGTCCATATGTTACCATTTAATAGTGCCATAGCTGAAGCACGTCATCTATCGTGTGAATTTCAAGATGGTATAAAGCTGCTTACTCGGTGCGACTCGACTTTTTCTGTTTGTGCCTATAAATTGTGTTATTCGCTAGAATATTTGGTTGAAATAGAACAAGAACTCACTGAATGCAGACCGAAGACATCGATTGAAACGATGAATTACCAAACGTGAATTCATATTGAAAACGAATTCAGCAATTCTTCACACCTTTTGTTATATGAATCCTTATCTGTTTATCATTCTTATCTAGTTGTGAGCCATCGCTAACAGCTCTATTCGTTTCTCCTTCTTCTATCGAATAACTGTGATCTTTTCTGATATCTCGATATCGTTGAAATTCTATACTTTTTCGAGTTGTGAGTGTTCACTGAAAATGAAAAGTTCACATATATTTGCATATCCACAGTCACAGCACAATTGTCATCGCTGCATTTGTTCGCCGGCGAAATTTTTTCTTTACAACTGTTTTCAATGGTTCGTTGAAGTAGAATAAAACGATCACCATTAATAGTAGTGAGATGTCGATGGAGATATAAGCTAATCGAAAATGATATTGTGGCGCACTGTGAAAGAATGACAGAACAATAAATATTGTGTAGGGGGTACCAAGTAAAATGAATAGCATAACTAGTAGAACAGTGTGTCGGACCATTCTCACTTCTCGTTGAGCACGAGATATGACATAGATCGGTGTTACTCGTTTACTCATTTGTTTCACGTAGTGTACTAATCGGCAATAGATAAGCATTGTTACTGACAATGGAATAAGATACATACATAACACAGAATAAATTAATGAAAATGAAAGTCGAAGTGGTATTTGACATATTTGATTGTCAACGTTATAAACAATGTCACCTAAAAATGGAAATACCAATGCGCATAGAACGCCACATATCCATGAGAGGCATATGATGATTGTGTAAAACTTAACTGTTAAGAAGAATAATCGAGCCGGATACATGACAATTACATATCGATAGATAGCTTCGATTGAAAACGAATAGTTAAGCCAAAAAACGGTCACATAGGCTGCGTAGCATTGGATAATACATAGTAAATCCTGATAATAAATTTGCTTCAAATCATTTTGAATTGTAACAATACTTGTACTAAGCATAGAACATGCGAAAGCTAGTGTTGAAGCACAGGTATTTGCAGTTAACATCATTGGTAATGTATGACATGTTTTATTCAGTAGAATAATACATAAGTATATTGCGCAACAAACACTTGTTAGAAATGTACACACAATTTTAATAATTTCTATGGGAAGAAACCAAGATTCTACGAATACGGTTGTCGCGGGCATCCTTTGATGCTCAATGGCAAAAAGACTCTGAACACGTTTCATGAGATTTTATGTTTCAATTAACAATATAATTAGAAGCGCACTGTATGACTACGACTGATTGAATCCGGTCCATTCTTTTCTCAGTTTAATCACGTTTGCAAGCTTAAATTTAGCACGACTTTTTTTCTCCATTCTCGACTTTGATCGATCAATACACTATTTTCCACACTTATGTACGAATTCGAATGCAAAAGAAAGAAAGAAGGCGTAAATAACTCGGCATTCTCCTTTTTCTCCCTTCTTCGTGCTACGCAGCAAGATGGCAAACGATGAATATCCGTATGAATTTATTTTTGATGAAAAAGATGTGAGGTTATGTGCACAATTCATTGTAGAAAAATTCACCTCTCGTCTGACAAGCCGTTTGTTTTTTGACCCAAGTATTCAATTTGCACGCCCTTAGCTATTCAGAAAACAGAGATGACGCAAATGAGTTTTTGATCTATGCATTTCTTTTCATCTAAACATCATTCATGCAATTATAGCCATTACCGTATTCGCCCGTGGATGTAGTTTTTTCTTGACAACTGTTTTCAACGGTTCGTTAAAGTAGAGCAAAACGATCACCATTAACAGTAGTGAGATGTCAATGGAGATATAAGCTAATCGAAAATGATATTGTGGCGCACTGTGAAAGAATGACAGAACAATAAATATTGTATATGGAGCACCGAGTGAAATTAATACTACAGAAGTTAAAACGGTGTGTTGAACCATACGCAATTCTCGTTGAGCACGAGATATGACATAGATCGGTGTTATTCGTTTACTCATTTGCTTCACATAATACACTAATCGGAAATAAATAAACACGGTCATCGATAATGGAATGAGGTAGACATACAGTGCGGCGTAGATCATCGGAAACGACAATCCAAGCGGTACTTGACATATTTGATTGTCAACGTTATAAACGATACTACCCAAAAATAAAAACACCACGGGATATAAAATACCACATAGCCATGAAAGACATATAATGATTGTATGAAATTTAATGCTTTGTAAGTATAATCGAGTCGGATACATGACAATTACATATCGATAGATAGCTTCGATTGAAAACGAATAGTTAAGCCAGAATGCAGAAGCATGACTTGCAAAGCATCTACTAACGCATAGTAGATCTTGATCATAGATTTGTTTCGAATCATTTTGAATTGTAACAATACTTGTACTAAGCATAGAACATGCGAAAGCTAGTGTTGAAGCACAGGTATTTGCAGTTAACATCATTGGTAATGTATGACATGTTTTATTCAGTAGAATAATACATAAATATATTACGCAACAAACACTTGTTAGAAATGTACACACAATTTTAATAATTTCTATGGGAAGAAACNAGTGATGATCTTAAAGTGAGCTTACTCCTTAAGTATTTTATTCTAATCCGCAATCTGGTTTTCCAAATGCAAGTATGTGAGTTCCACACTTTAGCCCCAAAGGGGCTGCGCTGACAAGCTTTTTTCACATGCAGTCGGATTCTATCGTCTTTTCTTTTACGAACGGCGGTATCTGCACACTCTTCCGTCCAACATATCGACTAAGCATGTAATCAGTATGGAAGATGCTATTGAGATTCGAACACAGTACCTTGTTACTCCGTGTCGAACAACGTAACCATTCATCCATGGCGGCTCTACGTTCCCGTAGACGTAGATATATTCATTGAAATATGACCGATGTATGCATATAACTAACTTTTGGGGTCGGTAATGATTAATTCTTTTCGCCGAGTTCGAGATGAAAGAATATTTGTTTTATATATCGTAAAGTCAATAGAAACATCTTCTAGTAGATAAACGTCTTTTCACAACAGAATACAGGCGTGTCAATAGAGAAAGAGAACGAAAAAGAAATTGTGTCGAAAACACATTCTCATCATTAAAGTTATTCACGGTAAAAGAAATGGGTGGATCAACGTCGAGTATCGTTCATTCGACTGATGAAAATCTTGAATCGTTGTCACTGATTTGGCTGGATGCCAATGTTGACAACTCCATAGAAAACGTTGTTATACAAAACCAACTTCGTTCCATCGTAAACTATTTGAAGACATTTCAAGATGCAACAGAATGTGAAAATTATATTCGATCAATGCTCGATGGAGATAGAGTGTTATTCATCGTCAGTGGGCGTCTCGGTCAATACATAGTACCTCGTATTCATAAACTTCGCCAGATTCTTGCTATCTATGTCTTCTGCTGTAGGGAACAGGACCATAAAGAATGGGCTAAAAAATTTACCAAGGTAAGAATAAATGTAAGTGATATGCTGCGATATGTCTTTGTCTTAACATTTTAGGTGAAAGGCTTATTCACCAAGAAACAAGATCTTATCTCTAGCATTCAATCGGATCGTGGACGGCGGAAACAAGGCGACGAGCCAATCTTGTTTTCTGTTCAGGGACAATCAACTAGTGAACTAAATGGACAATTTGTTCACTCTCAAATCTTTATTGATATTCTACTTCGAATAAAACCAACTCAAGAAGATAGAGACGAACTCAATTTTCTTCTTCACAAGATATACAAAGGAAATGCTAGTGAATTAGCGATTGTCAAAGAATTCGATGAGAAATATCGAGCTGATGATGCACTGTGGTGGTACACAAGAGAATCGTTCGTTTATCGATTGTTAAACAAAGCTCTTCGAGTACAAAATATTGATATTCTCTTTCTATTTCGATTTTTTATCATTGATCTTCAACAACAGCTCGCTAAATATCGATGTACCATGCCCATTCGTCTCTACCGGGGTCAAAAAATGTGCAAAGACGAAGTACAAATGTTACGCAACTCCATTGGTCGATTCGTGTCATTCAATTCTTTTCTATCAACCAGCACCGATTCTTCCGTAGCACATAAGTTCTTAATGCAAACGTCTGGTGAGGGTGAAAGAGTCTTATTCCAAATCGATGCCGATCCTACTATTTCAACAAAACCTTTTGCAGATATTACTCAACGTAGTCATTTTTGTAATGAAAAAGAAGTGTTGATTATGCTTGGATCAATCTTTCGAATTATTGACGTATGCAACAATGATGAGCAAATATATACTATTCAAATGACGTTGTGCTCAGATGATGATCATTATCTGAAAAACATTTTGAATACATGAAGAGTCTACATGGAGGCGGAGAAAAGAATCTTCTCTCATTTGGCAATGTACTTGCAGAGATGGGTAGATTTGATGAAGCCGAAAAATATTATTTTCGTCTACTAAAACATCTTTCTGCAGATAATCCAGACACTGCTCGTTGTTATCATGGACTCGGCAATATAGCTGATGAAAAAGAGGATTACGATGCAAGTCTCGAGTGGCATCAAAAGTCACTCCAAATAAGAACTGAAGCATTACGCGCAGATCATCCTCATCTCGCGGCGAATTATATTAGTATTGGCTGTGCATTTTTTAATCAAGCAGATTATCAACAAGCTTTTGAATCCTTTGAAAAAGCACATGATATTATCGAAACAGCATTTGGTGCCAGTCATCCCGATGTTGCCGTGTGTTTGAATAACATGGGTTGTGTCTACGAACGCGAACAAAAGTATATCACGGCGTTGAGATACCACGAGAAAGCGTTGAGGATTCGTTTAAAATGTTTACCTGAATATCATCCTGATGTGGCTCAATCTTACCATAATATTGGTAATATCTATCGTGCGTTGCGAGAGTATGATGTTGCATTAGAAAACTATCAGAAAGCATTGGAAATCCAATTCAAATCTTTACCTTCTGATCATCGTGATATTGCTTTCACCTTGGAAAATATTGGTAACGTGTACAACGATAAAGAAAATTTTCAAGAAGCACTTTCATATTATAAAAAAGCAGAATTCATTTATGATCGTTCTTTACCGCCTACACACATGAGTATGTTACAAATAAGAGAATATATTCGACATTTATCCAAAGAAAATTCGATAATGAAATAAACGTGTTAGTCAACAATGATCGCATTGTTCACTTCGAGAATAAATAAGTTATTTTATGCACATTCATTCTAACCTTGACTGTAGTTTTGTGTTTGATACTTTGGTATGTTTCCAGTGACACATTTGTAACTGATAGTTACTTCCTCAAAATAAAAGTACAGATAGCAACATGGAACTTCTCAAGTTTTCTCTCTCACCTTTAGAGAGAAAAAACACACCTATAGAATTACTAACATCCATCAATGATGTGTCGCAGTTATGCGGTTCATGCTTTCAAGTAACTAAAAAGGAAGTCAGTTCTTACTCAGGAGTCAAATAGGTATTTATCATTGACACTCGCCTCGTACTCTACAAACAACACACCTTAGACCTTTTTTCTTGAGAAGCTGCATTCTCATCAAGTAAGTTCATCTACAGTTACTGGTACTATATGGGGGCTGGGGATAGCAGCAACAATAGAAATGTCACAGGACTGGCACCAATACGCGTACAGCATTCCAATCCACTTCTTTATACATTAGGTAAAGATCATATGAACATTCAAACGTATTGGATTATGGTTTTACAATTAATTGTGAGAGATATCATCATTCAGCGTATTTGGAATAAATTCCGTTATAAAACATTCTCCACCACACAAGAAATAGCACTAGGATGTTGGATGTTTGGCGAACAAATAAAGGAATACAGGCAATTGAATAATGCTGTGCAAGCGAGAAATCGCCAGTCCTTGACTAGCGAACGCTCGACAGCATGCAGCAAAGTCACGACGAAGTCTCGAAATATATTTATTGGTAATATAAATGCATCTGCTGCGCCGACCATATGGCTTATCACTGTATTTTTGCAATCTGCGAACGCTCTTCAGGTAATATTGCCACAAAAAATTCAAGAAGTAGAAGAAGAGCGTGAGAGACTTCGTCATAAATTAAAATTCCAGATGTTCGACTTTCCCTTCCATTCTCTACCCTTATTCGAATATACCATTTGGTACTTTTACATACAATCACCCTGTATGGACGCGCAAGATGCAATCATATGGAATTGTTATAACGCATTTGGCTATGGATTGAATAATTATATATTTCCTTCATTCATTACTTTTCTTTCATTCTTCTTCACCAAACTTGCTGTTCATTATCGGGTGAAAGAAAATAAAATTTCATACAGGTCGATGGTCATCTGTTATTACGATGATCGTTGTTGGTCATCCACTCCTTCCATATCTTTTTAGAAATGTGATATCAATGACATTTGCCTATTTGTTTATGTTCATTATTTATATCCTTCTTTTAATGTGTGGAACGATTTTCTTGATGGTGGTTTCATTGATGCCGGGCATTAGTCACATTCTACTGGGTATTTTGAAATCTTCGACTGCAGAAAACCGGATGAGTACGGGTATTGCCCTTGTGCATTCATTAATCCAACTTACCCTTCCGATATTACTCTCAATATTTATATTATGGGAACGATTATCAGGATACCATGACGGATGAGTTTAATCTACGTAGTACGAAAACTTATTTTAGTATTTTACAAGCATCTGTTAATGAACAGCTACACACTTCACTGAACTTCATTTAAACAATGATTCTTTTGTATGTTTTATGGAACGATACAGAAGAAATTTTACAAAAAAAACTATCCTAACTGCAAGTATAACATGTCCCAATTCCACAATGTACTACGCGTTGATGTGGCTGTCCTTCATAAACTAGTTTACCACCTAGTACTGTTTTCTCTACTTTGACATGTTCTATAAATTCTTTTCGAACCGTGAATAAGTCATGGTCGAGAATGGCAAAATCGGCAAGTTTGCCCACAGCAATCGATCCTTTGATACCTTCTTCATGCACAGAATAGGCCGCCCCCAACGTATACGAATATAAAGCTTGCTGTACCGATACGCATTGCTCAGGAACAAACACATTGTTTAGTTTATTATCATTGCCAGTGGGTAATGTTTGACGTACGACTGCTGCATGTATGCCTAAAAGAGGTACAGGAGGTGCAACGAACCAATCCGAACCGAATGCCATGTGAACACCAGCATTTTGAAAAGAACGAAATGCATAAGCGTTCTTACATCTTTGAGTTCCAAGAATACTTTCAGCCCATCGACCATCATCAATAGCGTGGTACGGTTGAACACTAGCAATAACACCCAACTCACGAAATCGATGGAAATCTGCTGATGCGACATGCTGTGCATGTTCAATACGCCAACGTCGATCTTTTCTACCATTCTCCCGTTGCACACGTTCGTAAATATTCAATGCAATATGATTAGCACGATCACCAATAGCATGAATAAATACTTGCATGCCGGCTGCATCAATGCCTTTGATCCATCGATAGAGGTCACTTTCCGAATTGACCGTTTCACCCGCATAATTTGGTGTATCAACATACGGATCGAAGAACCAGGCTGTATGACTACCAAGAGAACCATCGACGTAACCTTTGACTGCTCCAATACGTAACATTTTATCACCACGCCAAGCTCCAGGTAGAGCAAGACGATTTCGAAGTATTTCCCAATTTTCAATTGGAACCGCTACATAAGCTCTAAACCGAACATAGTAAGAGTGCAAATGGAAATTTGTAACAAAAGTCTTACCTGATCTTCAGTCGTCCTCTTTTATGTGCACTTTCGAATGTACTAATATCATCTCCTACACAAGCACGATTGCGAGATGGTGGCTCTGTAAGATGATGAATGGATGTCACACCATTCTCGAAACAATACTGTGTAGCAGCTTCGATTGCTTGATCATCTTCATCTTGAGTAGCTTGTGGTACACAAGAATAAACTATATTCATCGCATTATCCTTAAATGATCAAAAATGCAATCGCATCGAAAAGATGGGTAATGGAAAATAAGACCTTGAATAAACCAGTTGGCTGTCCATTTCCATCTCGCACTACAGTCCCACCTTCAACATCTGGAATCGTACTAAAATCCGCATAACCAGCTTGTTGTAGAGCTAATGTATTCGCAAGAAACATATGTCCTTCTTTCCGATTAATCCATACGGGATTATCAGGAGTTACCTATGTACGTAAATACTACGAGATCTGAGAAAAGATTTCATCACTTGTTACTTTATCAATCCATGCACGTGTTGGCAGCTCTCGTTCTTCTTGAGGCCACAACGTGTGATCCCACTCACCGCCTAAAATCCATTTGCCGCGTGGTTGAACCGCAGCGAAATCTTTAATACGCTGAATGAATTCGTTTCGAGTTTGAGCATCGGATAATTGCACAGAAGACAGCCTATCAATATTATAATAAGGCACAATTGAAAAATATATGAACAATCTTTTACCTCTGACCACCCATAATAAAATGAATATGTGAATCAATAAATCCAGGAATGACAAATTTTCCTTGTGCATCGAGAATTTGTGTTTGACTATCTTTATGCGTGTCACTATCGCAAATATACATAAGCTGTTGAAACTTTGATACTGATCAACTTACAGCAAAGACAACACGTCAGAGTTTGATCCAACGTGTGTAATCATATCATCGACACAAGCTATTGCTTGAGCATGTGGGTGTTCCTTATTTCCGGTCCATATATTACCATTTAATAGTGCCATAGCTGAAGCACATCATCTATGATATTAATTTCAAGATGGTGTAAAGCTGCTTACTCGGTGCGACTCGACTTTTTGTGTTTGTACCTATAAATTGTGTTATTCGCTAGAATATTTGGGTGGAATAGAACAAGAACTTACTGAATGCAGACCGAAGACATCGATTGAAACGATGAATTAACAAACGTGAATTCATATCGAAAACGAATTCAACAATTCTTCACAACTTTTGTTATATGAATTCTTATCTGTTTATCATTCTTATCTCGTTATGAGTCATCATGAACAGCTCTATTAATTTCTCCTTCTTCTATCGAATAACTGTGATCTCTTCTGATATCTCGATACTGTTGAATTTCTATAACTGAAAATGAAAAGTTCACATATATTTGCATATCCACAGTCACAGCACAATTGTCATCGCTGCATTTGTTCGCCGGCGAAGTTTTTTCTTTACAACTGTTTTCAATGGTTCGTTAAAGTAGAACAAAACGATCACCATTAACAGCAGTGAGATATCAATAGAGATATAAGCCAATCGAAAATGATATTTTGGCGCACTGTGAAAGAATGACAGAACAATGAATATTGTGTAGGGGGTACCAAGTGAAATGAATAGCATAACTAGTAGAACCGTGTGTCGAACCATTCTCACTTCTCGTTGAACACGAGATATGACATAGATTGGTGTTACTCGTTTACTCATTTGTTTCACGTAGTGTACTAATCGGCGATAGATAAATATTGTTACTGACAATGGAATAAGATAGATACATGACACAGAATAAATTAATGAAAATGAAGGTCGAAGTGGTATTTGACATATTTGATTGTCAACGTTATAAACAATGTCACCCAAAAAAGGAAATACCAATGCGCATAGAACGCCACATATCCATGAGAGGCATATGCTGATTGTGTAAAACTTAACTGTTAAGAAAAATAATCGAGTCGGATACATGACAATCACATATCGATACATAGCTTCGATTGAAAATGAATAGTTAAGCCAAAAAACGGTCACATAGCCTGCATAACATTGGATAATACATAGTAGATCCTGATAATAAATTTGCTTCAAATCATGTTCAATAGTAGCAATACTTGTACTAAGCATAGAACATGCGAAAGCTAGCGTTGAAGCATAAGTATTCGCAGTTAAGATCATTGGTAATGTATGACATGTTTTATTCAGCAGAATAATACATAAACATATTGCACAACAAACAATTGTTAGAAATGTACAGATAGTTTTAAGAATTTCGACGGGAAGAAACCAAGATTCTATGAAGACGGTTGTCGCGGGCATGCTTTGATGCTCAATGTCAAAAGACCTTGAACACGTTTCATGAGATTTTCTGTTTCAAATAACAATATAATTAGAGGGACACTGTTTAATTATGACTGATTAAATCCGGTTCATCTTTTTTTTCACTTTAATCACGTTTGCAAGTTTAAATTTAGAAAGACTTTCCTTCTCCATTCTCGACTTTGATTGATCAATATACTATTTTTCACATTTATGTACGAATTCGAATGCAAAAGAACGAAAGAAGATATAAATAACTCGGCATTTTCCTTTTTCTCCCTTCTTCGTGCTACGCAGCAAGATAGCAAACGATGAATATGCGTATGGAGTTATTGATGATGAAAAAGATGTGAGATTATGTGCATAATTAATTGTAGAAAAATTCGCGTGTCGTCTAACAAGTCGTTTGCTTTTGGACGCAAATATTCAACTTGCACACCCTTAGTTATTCAGAAAACAGAGATGACGCAAATGAGTTTTTGATCTATACATCGCTTTTCATGTAAACATCATTCATGCGATTACAGCCATTACCATATTCGCCCGTGGATGGAGTTTTTTCTTTACAACTGTTTTCAATGGTTCGTTAAAGCAGAACAAAACGATCATCATTAACAGTAGTGAGATGTCAATTGAGATATAAGCCAACCGGAAATGATATTGTGGCGCACTGTGAAAGAATGACATGACTATAAATATTGTATATGGAGCACCAAGGGAAATTAACAATATAGAAGTTAAAATGGTGTGTTGGACCATACGCAATTCTCGTTGAGCACGAGATATGATATAGATTGGTGTTACTCGTTTACTCATTTGTTTCACATAACACACTAATCGGAAATAAATAAACACGGTCATTGTTAATGGAATGAGGTAGACACCCAGTGCAGCGTAGATCATTGGAAATGACAATCCAAGCGGTACTTGACATATTTGATTGTCAACGTTATAAACGATACTACCCAAAAATAAAAATACCACGGGATATAAAGTACCACATAGCCATGAAAGACATATGATGATTGTATGAAATTTAATTGTTTGAAAGTATAATCGAGTCGGATACATGACAATCACATATCGATACATAGCTTCGATTGAAAATGAATAGTTAAGCCAGAATGCGGAAGCATGACTTGCAAAGCATCTACCAACACATTGTGGATCTTGATAATAAATTAACTTCAAATCATGTTCAATAGTAGCAATACTTGTACTAAGCATAGAACATGCGAAAGCTAGCGTTGAAGCATAAGTATTCGCAGTTAAGATCATTGGTAATGTATGGCATGTTTTATCCAGCAGAATAATACATAAATATATTGTACAACAAACAATTGTTAGAAATGTACATATAGTTTTAAGAATTTCGACGGGAAGAAACCAAGATTCTATGAAGACGGTTGTCGCGGGCATGCTTTGATGCTCAATGTCAAAAGACCTTGAACACATTTCATGAGATTTTGTGTTTCAAATAACAATATAATTAGAGGGACACTGTTTAATTATGACTGATTAAATCCGTTTCATCTTTTTCTTCACTTTAATCACGTTTGTAGGTTTAAATTTAGAAAGACTTTCTTTCTCCATTCTCGACTTTGATTGATCAATATACTATTTTTCACATTTCATCCGTAATCATGTGACTGTTTGCACACGTGTACGACTATTCTCGAAACTATATCAATTCGAATGCAAAAGAACGAAAGACGATATAAATAACTCGGCATTTTTCTTTTTCTCCTTTCATCGTACTACGCAGCAAGATGGCAAACGATGAATATGCGTATGAAATTATTGATAATGAAAAAGATGCAAGGTTATGTGCACAATTAATCGCGGAAGAGTTTACGTCTCGTCATCCGATAACTTTATTCGATCGTTTAACAACTCGTTCGTTTTTCGATGATCATTCATGGCCATTACTAACTGATGTTTTCGACGAAAAACTCTCCTTTCTTGCGCGAGAACGTTCGTCTGGGGAAATTATTGGCACAATCATCGCCGGTGATCTTTATCTCAATAGAGAAAAGTATCCATATGATACTTCTCATCCTCCGAGAGCTCTTCCACTAAGTGATCTGTATGATGAGTTAATTGATCGATTTGTTCGTTCGGATTTCAATCAAGAATTGAAACCAAACACAATTTTGCACATTCTCGTCATTGCAGTTCGCGGCGATCACACGGGAAATGGCGTTGCGACACGATTACACGAAGTTCTATGTGAACAAGCCAGAAATTCGAAAGGTTTCCGATATGCATTCGTTCGAGCAACAAATCCAATCGTTCAACATATTTATGTAAATAAAATGAATGGAAGGCAATTGACCAGTATCGATCCAGCGACTTGGCGATGGAAGAAACAAACAGATCGTTTAGTTTATCCATATCGTAATTACAACGATGAAGTTATCGCAAACATTCTTATTAAACTCATCTCTGATAACGAAACAGAATAGTATTGTCTTTTATCTGAGGAATTCTATTGACTTAAGAAAATATTCGCATATCTCTCTTCATATGTTTATTTATATATTAAATAAAGCGAACAAATCTACAGAGACAAATAAAATGCTCATCATCATCATCATCATCGTCTACTCAATCCATAAACGTAAATCTTGATGACTACGTAATTCATAGGTACAGTTAAAAAACCATTTGTGATTATTGGGATCATTGATTAAATCAATGAACGATCCATGACGACAGAAAACAGTTGCACTGGATAGACTTGCAATTTTGGTTAACCAAGGCCAAATATCAACAGCCCACTTAATACTCAATGATAAATGATGGACATGTGAGAAAATAATGCATAGTTGCGAGACGTAACGAATGTCATCACATGGTTTGAATGAACTTAACGTTAATTTGCGAATATTCTCTTTAAGAAACGAAATGACGTGTTCGTTTTGAAATTTGTTGGTGATCGCAGAGAATGCGACATCTTGTCCGGATAGAGATTGTAAATTTGGCACTTCTTTCATCAATAAAACGAACGTTCCCGAACGCATTCGATGATCAATTGTTAAATGACGAACCGTCGACAGATTAATCAATGTTCGTAAATGTGAAATTGGCTTTTGTGAATGTTTGTAATCGATGAGAGTTAGAGAATGAACTTTATCGAAGTAAATTTCATCACTTTGGCATAATTTGAATCCGAGTGGATTCAATGTTAAAATTAACTGCCGAATATGCGAATATTCATTGGAGACTTTCGATGATGGACATTTCTACAAAACACATAAGATAAATTCGATTTATTTTCGTGAGAAAAATAGAAACCTCTTGACGATAGGCAGTTCGTGCATTTAAGATTAATTTTGTGTCGATAAAAGGTATTGTATAGATTAATGATGATAATGGATGACCTACAACAATCCATTTCTTTTCAGTTTTCCACCAATCTTGTTCATATTCGATTAGTTGAATATCTTTTTGACGAATATCGAATTTAAAACGAAAATCACTTAAATTTGATAAATTTTCTTGAATAAAACTTTCCCAAATCGATGCACTNAATCATTTTGAATTGTAACAATACTTGTACTAAGCATAGAACATGCGAAAGCTAGTGTTGAAGCACAGGTATTTGCAGTTAACATCATTGGTAATGTATGACATGTTTTATTCAGTAGAATAATACATAAATATATTACGCAACAAACACTTGTTAGAAATGTACACACAATTTTAATAATTTCTATGGGAAGAAACCAAGATTCTACGAATACGGTTGTCGCGGGCATACTTTGATGCTCAATGGCAAAAAGACCCTGAACACGTTTTATGAGATTTTCTGTTTCAATTAACAATATAATTAGAAGCGCACTGTATGATTACGACTGATTAGATCCGGTCCATTCTTTTCTCAGTTTAATCACGTTTGCAAGCTTAAATTTAGAACGACTTTTTTCCTCCATTCTCGACTTTGAATGATCACTGTACTATTTTCATATTTCATCCGTAATCATGTGACTTTTTGCGCACGTGTATGACTATTCACGAAACTATATCAATTCGAATGCAAAAGAACGAAAGAAGATATAAATAACTCGGCATTTTCCTTTTTCTTCTTTCATCGTACTACGCAGCAAGATGGCAAACGATGAATATGCGTATGAAATTATTGATAATGAAAAAGATGCAAGATTATGTGCACAATTAATTGCGGAAGAGTTTACGTCTCGTCATCCAATAACTTTATTCGATCGCCTGACAACTCGTTCGTTTTTCGATGATCATTCATGGCCATTATTAACTGATGTTTTCGACGAAAAATTGTCTTTTCTTGCGCGAGAACGTTTATCTGGGGAAATTATTGGTACAATCATCGCCGGCGATCTTTATCTCAATAGAGAAAAGTATCCATATGATATTTCTCATCCCCCGAGAACTCTTGCACTAAGTGATCTGTATGATGAGTTAAGTGATCGATTTGTTCGTTCGGAATTCAATCAAGAATTGAAGCCAAACACGATTTTGCACATTCTCATCATTGCAGTTCGCAGTGATCACACAGGAAATGGCGTTGCGACACGATTACACGAAGTTCTATGTGAACAAGCTAGAAATTTGAAAGGTTTCCGATATGCATTCGTTCGAGCAACAAATCCAGTCGTTCAACACATCTATGTAAATAAAATGAATGGACGGCAACTGACCAGTATCGATCCAGCTACTTGGCGATGGAAGAAACAAACAGACCGTTTAGTTTATCCATATCGCAATTACAATGATGAAGTTATCTCAAACATTCTTATTACACTCATCGCTGATAACGAAACAGAATAGTATTGTCTTTTATCTGAGGAATTTTATTGACTTAATAAAACATTCGCATATCTCTCTTCATATGTTTATTTATATATTAAATAAAGCGAACAAATCTACAGAGACAAATAAAATGCTCATCATCATCATCATCATCACCTATTCAATCCATAAACGTAAATCTTGATGACTACGTAATTCATAGGTACAATTAAAAAACCATTTGTGATTATTGGGATCATTGATTAAATCAATGAATGATCCATAACGACAGAAAACAGTTGCACTGGATAGACTTGCAATTTTGGTTAACCAAGGCCAAATATCCACAGCCCACTTAATACTCAATGATAAATGATGGACACGTGAGAAAATAACGCATAGTTGCGAGACGTAACGAATGTCATCGCATGGTTTGAATGGACTTAAGGTTAATTTGCGAATATTCTCTTTAAGAAACGAAATGACGTGTTCGTTTTGAAATTTGTTGGTGATCGCAGAGAAAGCGACATCTTGTCCAGATAAAGAACGTAAATTTGGCATTTCTTTCATCAGTAAAACGAACGTTCCCGAACGCATTCGATGATCAATTGTTAAATGACGAACCGTTGACAGATTAATCAATGTTCGTAAATGTGAAATTGGCTTTTGTGAATGTTTATAATCGATGAGGGTTAGAGAATGAACTTTATCGAAGTAAATTTCATCGCTTTGACATAATTTGAATCCGAGTGGATTCAATGTTAAAATTAACTGCCGAATGTGCGAGTATTCATTGGAGACTTTCGATGATGGACATTTCTACAGAATACACAAGATAAATTCGATGCATTTTCGTGAGAAAAACAGAAACCTCTTGACGATAGGCAGTTCGGGCATTTAAGATTAATTTTGTGTCGATAAAAGGTATTGTATAGATTAATGATGATAATGGATGACCTACAACAATCCATTTCTTTTCAGTTTTCCACCAATCTTGTTCATATTCGATTAGTTGAATATCTTTTTGACGAATATCGAATTTAAAACGAAAATTAATTAAATTTGATAAATTTTCTTTAATAAAATTTTCCCAAGTCGATGCACTAACACCGCGACAGACTAGTTTCAGTCGTTGTAATTTCTTCGTTTGCCGCAAGAGCTTGTCAATTTGATTAAATTCAGCGCGTGGACCATCAATATCAAGTTCTACAGAAGAGAATATTCATATCGTAAGAAGCAAATGTGCGTTTAACCTGTGATATTTGTTTGCAGATTTTGCTCGAACTGACGATTCGACTGTTCAGAATTGAGATGGAATGCGAATGAAGCTAATTTTGGTGCTGCTCGAAGAATTCGCTGAACGTCAAACATATTCAATGATCCTAAATTGAGTTTAGTTAAATTTGGAAAGGACAGTTCATCGGGTAATGTAATGGGTTCATCAGGATCATCGTGAATAGTTAACGATTTAAGCGAAGAATTCCCAATGGACGAATAAAGATTTGTATAGACCATAGTTGGCATTCGAACTACGGTTGAAAGACGAACGGATAGATGTTCGAGGTGAGGAAAGTATTTCATTAATTTCTATCGAATAGGAATATTAAAAAAATAAAGAAGAGTTCTTATTGATTTTACTTACAAGTAAATCTTTTTGTTCTGGTTGATCGAGAGCTAAGATTTTTAAATTGGAAAATAAATCCAATGGGTAGATTGCAAAGAAGAAGTTGATTAAGCCGGGCGTTTCATCTGTATTGAATAAACGAATTTGACGGAGAATTTGCGGATTGATCGAGGAATTTTCATAGAAATGTTCAATAAACTGCGAGCGTTGAATTGAATGAAGGTTGATTGATGTGCGATTGTGAATCAACTCGTTGAAACGACGATGTAATGGGAAGAAATTGAACGAAGTGAATAATTCTCGGTCGGTCAAATAAGAAAAGATGTGATAAAATAATTCATTCGGTAAACATTCGAGTGTTGTCTTGGCTGCATTTGTTGATTTCAATCGTTTCGTTAATCGTTCCGAATGTTGAGAAAGCTTAAGTGTTCGTTTCTTTGATGAGTGTTGAAAATGATGATACAATGAGGATTGATTTAACATCATATCGAACAAAACAAATTCGGATGTCTTGCTCTTGAACAGATAAAGAATCTATCTGCCTTTCGTCTTTGTTTAACGATGATTTATATATATGTCTAAAAACTGTTCTCCTCACGTGATAAGAATATATTTGAATTCGATTGGAGTTCATATTTTCGCGTTTTAAGAAAAGATGTCGCACAGTATCTTTGTTGAACGAATTATAGTCATACATAATTATTCACAGTAACAATCATGTAAAAGATAATACTTATATGATTTATATTTGTATTGAAATTTTAAGGAGTTGCATCATAACACTGTATAAAACAGATTTATTCTATCTTGCAAATTTGTAAATCTTCTTTTGGTAATTATTCGATCTTCGTTAGCCTGTTTAATTTAGAATATCGTTCTATTCCAGACTATACTGCATTAGTCATAATATTTATGCGATTCAATATAAAGAGAATTGTGATTTTGTTTTGTCAGCTCGTTTCACCGAAATCAGTATACGCATTCGTTGCAAACAAATCCTCATCAATAACTTAATAGATGTTTAGAAAAAGATTACACCACAAAATTTTTTTTCTCTCTATAATCATAGCTCAAAATAAATTCCATCTCGGATTACACTTCCATTTGTTTCATTCAAATATTTCTAACAATAACAAACTGGTTTTCTCTCGTAACACAATATGTCAATATGAAGAATGATTAAATATATATGAGTAAATTGCGCAGTTATCTTTACTGTTGTATTGGACTTACGAATCAAATTCCATTTTTGATTATTTTCTGAACAACACTACACACATTGTATATCCTGCAAAGAAACGTCATTTATAAAACAATTATCGTCAAACTACACTAAACAATGCTGATCTTCAGAAGAGAAATCTTTTTTCTGATTTGTATTTTCACTTGATAAAATGTAATATTTGGAATCAAACGATATTTTGTGCAAATGCATCATGAGATTCGATTGAAATTGTCTTTTCAACAGTTTCAACTAAACCTTATCGTTTATTTGTCGATAAAAACAACATAATTTATGTTTACCACATTATAAACAAATCCAATTGAGATTTGATCGTATAAGAATAACATTCCGATGAAAACAATTTTATTTTATTTATAAATTATCTCCGTATCTTTTTTGTGACAATACGAGATGATATTTATGTTGCTAATGAAAATTGTCATCAAGTGGAGAAGTGATGAAACAAAAGAAATTGTTGTAATGAAAAACAAATGAACATTCGATTATCTTTCTCTTTCGAATAGAATATTTATCGATGTTAATTCGAAAATTTCCATTTGGAAAATCAAATGAATCAACGGGAACAGAAAAAAGAACAACAAAATCTTCTTTCGATAAAACAATGTGAATTATCTTTTTTCTCTTAATACGATGAATAATCGTGTTATTGGATCAAAATCAAAATAGTTTTTCACATTTAGTTGAATTTAAATAAAATAATCGAGTTTTCTCAATAAATCTCATCGTTTCTTTGAAAAAGACTATTTTCAGTAGATTAAAGTGTGAATGAAGATGTCATTTTCATTTAATATAAATGAATTTCAAAGAAAAGATCCAATTTGTGTTTTCAATGAATAAATATTTTGTTCGATAATCTTTATTATTGAAAATTCGATAAAATAAAACAAGTAAAGCGATAAAAGAGAAAAGAAAAAGATTTTGTTTTAGACATTTGTTGTTCGTTGATTAAAATACATCTGAAATGAGAAATTGTAAAAGAAAAGCAAAGAAAAGAGATTTCGTACTCGATTAATTTGATTGACCAATTGATTTGTTCGCAATCGAAGTGTATCGGTTGTAGAAAAATAATTTTCACGCATTTGTTGATCTTTTTCTTCTTGAATTTCCGATTCAGGTCGTTTTCTTATTCCTAAAACAAAGATTTGTAGAAAAGGTTCTTCCATTAATGAATTTTACCTGTCCATTGAAGAAATTTCTTCGTTATGTATGAAAATACTTCCGGATCTTCGATGACTTTTTCCCGCGCGAGTCGAAAATTATCGTTGATAATTGATAAAAAGATACTTAAGCAAATGAAAACAACGAGAAGAATAAATAAAGTNTGAATAGTTAACGATTTAAGCGAAGAATTTCCAATGGACGAATAAAGATTTGTATAGACCATAGCTGGCATTCGAACTACGGTTGAAAGACGAATGGATAGATGTTCGAGGTGAGGAAAGTATTTCATTAATTTCTATCGAATAGGAATATGAAGAAAATAAAGAAGAGTTCTCATGGATTTTACTTACAAGTAAATCTTTTTGTTCTGGTTGATCGAGAGCTAAGATTTTTAAATTGGAAAATAAATCCAATGGATAGATTGCAAAGAAGAAGTTGATTAAACCGGGCGTTTCATCTGTATTGAATAAACGAATTTGACGGAGAATTTGCGGAATGATTGATGCATTTTCATAGAAATGTTCAATAAACTGCGAGCGTTGAATTGAATGAAGGTTGATTGATGTGCGATTGTGAATCAACTCGTTGAAACGACGATGTAATGGGAAGAAATTGAATGAAGCGAGCAATTCTCGGTCGGTTAAATAGGAAAAGATCTGGTAAAATAATTCATTGGGTAAACATTCAAGTGTTGTCTTTGCTGCATTTGTTGATTTCAATCGTTTCGTTAATCGTTCCGAATGTTGAGAAAGCTTATGTGTTCGTTTCTTTGATGAGTGTTGAAAATGATGATATAATGAGGATTGATTTAACATCATATCGAACAAAACAATTTCGGATGTCTTTCTCTTGAACAGATAACGAATCTATCTGCCTTTCGTCTTTGTTTAACTATGATTTATATATATATATATATATCCCTCAAAACTGTTCTCCTCACGTGATAAGAATATATTTGAATTCGATTGGAGTTCATATTTTCGTGTTTTAAGAAAAGATGTCGCACAATATCTTTGTTGAACGAATTATAGTCATACATAATTATCTATGGCAACAATCGAGTAAAAGATAATACTCGTATGATATATATTTGTATTGAAATTTTAAGGAACTGCATCATAACACTGTATAAAACAGATTTATTCTATCTTGCAAATCTTCTTTTGGTGATTATTCGATCTTCGTTAGTCTGTTTAATTTAGAATATCGTTCTATTCCAGACTATACTGCATTGGTTATAATACTAATGCGATTCAATATAGAAAGATCTTTCTTGTTCTGTAAATATAAAATAATTCGATTGTGTGTGAATTTTTTTCAAATAATACGTAAGTAATGTTTATCTTATTATGTGGTGAATATGATCTGCACAAGAATTAAAGTTTCTTCTATGAGCGCTTACATTCACATTTATTGAACAGTTTTCAAACTGATACATAAGAAAAGCGATAAATATGAGTTATTGTTCCTTCTTTGCACTTTCAAGCTTTTTCTTAAATTTTTCCAAACTAAGACAATAACTTTCCGGTGATTGCTCTAAAATTCGTATAGCATATTCATAAAATGAAATGGTCTGCGTACTGTTGTTCATTCTTTGATATACGCGATCGATATTATTCAAAATTAAAATCAAATCAGGATAATTTGGAGGATGTAGTTTTTTTTGAATTTCAAGAGCTTCGTTGTAAGATGAAAGCGCGTCAGGATAATTGTACATGTCATAGTACATATTACCAATACTATTTAAAGTCACAGCTACATCACGATGATTGTAAGGATATGATTGTTTCTGATTTGCAAGTTTATCTTTGTATTCTTGAAGTTTTCTCAAGCATTGATTTCTTTTGTGCTCACTGTACAAAGAAATCAGTCGTGGAAGAATAACTTTCCGAATAATAAGTAATAACAACAACACAGGTATAATTCCGGCCCAAATGATATACGCATACGATGAATTTGAACTATCTGGATGAATAGAAGCCTGTGTGTCTATACCTTCTTGTTCAATTAAATTGTATTTTTTCGAGATCGTATTGAATTTTTTAATCAACTTTTCCAGCGAAAATAAACCCCCTTTGTTGAGAAAATTGACTTTGACAAAAATCGTGACGGTCGATTGTTGTTCAGGAAAATCAGCATAAAGAAATCGTTCGTAAGTAGATTCATCTTTCTCTATGATATTCAATTTCCCACTTGTAAGTCGTTTCTCTTCTAATTGCAACAAACTAAATTTTTTAAAATGTGGTTGTAAGTCCTCGATGTTTGGTGGCATGTTCCAGTTAATAACTCGAATATAACTTGATTCAAGGGTACTGAATCCAAGTTCGGACTCAAGAGTCATCATATCACGTTTTAATGAATGAGCAGAATTGATTTCCACGCCATTCTTTGCGGTATGAACCAGTATACCAAAAGACATTATTACCAACAAGAGACTTCTTCTATACATTGAGTCTCAAACAAAATAGAAACAATGATGGTAAGATTGATTACACAAAAGTATACCTTAAAATTTGTTTATGATAATTTGTCATTAGGAAGAAAGAGAAAAAGCGAGATATTCAGCATATCAGTGAAATTTGTGAAAGAGACGCACCTAGTCACATAGTATTCTTATCCATTTTTTCCCAAATAAAGTATACTTAACAAAGGCAACCGATGTGGACGACACAATTTTTGTATCATTTTCTATGGATCAACATCTTCGTCAAATCAGTAACATTAACAGATCTGACGGCAGCAAAAATTCGTTTCCTGGATCGAATAGACAATTCTCAAATGTTGTCGACTTTGACCGTCAATGTAGATGGAGCACTTAATGGCTATATTAGAGACCACGTGTCCGTTAAAGCAAGTACAACGCGCGTGATTGTATGGAATGAATTGCCAACAGGTTATGAGCTTGAACAGCATTTCAGAACAAGTTTCAAAAGTATAACATACGATGACACTTATCAAAACTTCATAAAGAAAGATTTCGATTATACAAACCAAGGGACATTTCAGATGGGAAGAACTTGGGAAAGATTTGTGTTTGCTCGTATTCCAGACGGATATCTGACGTTGTTTTTGAGCTATACAGTAAAAGAAGAAAGCTGCTGGCTCGGGATCGGGTGTCGTACAGAAGTCCCATCACATATTATATCAGAAATTAAAAACTTCATCAATGATGTTTCAGTTCGAATGTTTGACAAATTACTCCATCCCACTAAAAGTATTTACAGCCATGGCTTGCACCTTGTCAGTGATAACTCTGTAATTCGTTTCATTTTGGTTTATCATGATGGTGGTAATGGATATATTGAAAAGCCGATTTCATCATTCAATGAAGGTCTCAAAGAACAAGAAAGAATCAATGAACGCAAATTATCGTCATGTATTCTGATGGTTGAAGATGGTAAAAAGAGTTTACATTCAATACGACATCCAATCGTTCCTGGTTATATTGTTCCGGATTTTCACGCATTCTATAACACAAAATCAAAAAGAAACCAATCAGCTTCTCGTGTGGAGCTTTAAATATTCACCTTTTTTAGTGGCGCATTTCATCTGTATTTGTTTATGATAAAGTCTTTTTTTTTTGTTTTATCAATAAACGGTCAAAATAATCTGCAAAATATAACTATAACCCTTAAAAGCCGAAGAGGGTTTTTGTGAAATGAAGAAAGAATTAATCACATAAATAGAGAGTTTAGACCTCCAATATGCACAAACCGTGGTTGGAAGTGCTGGGTGGTGCTAAAAACTTTTTTCACCCAGATGATCTGGGTGAAGTATGATCGTTATAAATTTTTGCTTGGGTGATCCTGTTATATGGTTCAGGATCACTGTAAGTTCATGCTGATGAAATTTTAAGATATCTCTAATTATCTATAGAGCGAAAATTTGCGAATAACCCTGAGGATTATGCCCAAAAAGTTCTCATAAAGTGGCACTTTTTTATACCTTGAAAACACCTTAGTAGAAGAGTTTAAAACGCACAAAGTTGTTTTATATTATAGTTTAGAATTATTTCTAATGATATCACTCGAAATCCACGTTGCATATATCATCAGACAGAAATATCCAAGTAACCAACT